TTTATTAAAACATTATTTATTTATAAAAATTTATCCCAAGTTTATGCAATATTAGATAATAATGACAAAATTATTCAAATATATGTACATAGATCGTCTTAATTTTATTTAGAGAAGAGGAACTACAAAAGAGTCCTATGACTTTTGTAATTTATTAGTTAATCGAAAAGAAATTTTCTAATTTTGAAGCTTTGGATCCAGTTGATCGAAATAAATTGTGCAAGTATATTTTGATACACTTTTTTATACTACGTTTTTTAAGAAAACAAACATAATTATTTTATTCATAAAATACGACGCCAATATTTGTATCAAAATTGTTCATTAGTCACACATTAAGGCATATGCATAATGTAAAATTCTTTACAAAATTTTACATTTACTTAATTACTTACTAACTTGAAAACTACTAAGAATAAAAGAAAAATTTTTATAAAACCAAAAATAGTTCTCAATTTCCTTTCAGACCATAATTATTTAATTTATTTTTAAAATTGCAATTTCATATTAATTACACAAGTTTAATAACTATAATAATTTCATTTTTCAAAAAATAAATATTAAATAAATAAAATTGGCAAGGTGAAACATAACTCTTTTGTTTATATTCAGGCATACATACATACATTATTACAATATTTAATGTTACTGCATTTTTTCATATTTTAATATAAATAATTTGGTAAATAACATTCCAGGCGCAATTGCAATTTTTTCTTTCACGATATTTTAAAAAAAAAAATCTTGATTATAAAATATTTTTTTAAAAATAATTACTATGATAATGATTCCATGATGTTGTTGTAATGCAGTAATAAAACACGAAGTAAATAAATATTTTAAAATTTTAAAGTAAAAAATTTGCTTTTGTTTTACTCAGAAAAAAAGGTAGTAAATTTGTAGTTGAACACATTACATTACATTAGTTAAAATCCTTTTAAAGCAGAAAAGTAATTCATATAGCAATATACCTGCTGCTCATTAAATAATATTCAGCGGACCTCATAAATTTGTGGCTCCATGTTTGTATTATAGAAAATTTTTGAGCTTTTGCACACACTATGTGCGACTCAAAGCTCAAATAATCAATAATCTCATTAAAATTATTATATAAAAATATTTTGTTTAATCGAATTAATATTAATAATTTATTGATGAGCTATAAATGTATATATTATTTAGGTTAGGTAAGGTTAGGTTGTCGCGGCTCCCCGAAGGGTATACATAGGTCAACTAGGTCCGTTGTGGTACCACCGGATCCCTTCCCTCCCGCTCTTCATTTGAACCAGCCCGAACCAGTTCAAAAATCAGTTCAAATTCCTACCGCTTACATTCGCTAAGTCAGGAGCATCCCCAAAGAAGTAAGACCCAAGGAATCTCTGCCTGGAGTTCGCCAGTGCCGGACATGAGCAAAGAAGGTGGGTCACCGTTTCTTCCTCCCCCTCGTCACAGCAACTCCTACAAAGATCATTTTCGGGGCGGCCCATTCTCCTTGCATATTCGCCAATCAGACAATGGTCCTATATTATTTAAGTTAAAATTATATTTGAGTGCAAAAACCAATTAATTAAAAATTATGCTACATACTATACAATAAACCCTCAACAATTTTTACTGTGCTGATAAAAATGTCAAAAAATATGCATATATTATGTTGGAAATTGGAGCAAAAGAATTTGATTTTCGATTTAATAATTATATCAAAAGAATGAGAGAAAAATTACGGAATTTTTTCATTTTTCTGAACTCTAAATGGAAATTCTTAATTTGCAATGCCACGTCGATTTAAAATGAAAAAAAATAATTGAACTGCAAATTAATGGTGGCTTCTTTTCTCTATTTTACATTTTCGAATGTGGCTTCCAAAATGTAGAATAATATATATTAACTGCTATTCCTCCAATTCAGTAATTCCAGCAGTAATTTTACAAAAATTCACATTTTATTATATGAAATAATAAAAAATATTGTATGTATATGAAATTCTATATATTGCACATTAATATACTAATGTAATCTAGACAAAAATTCTAATATTTTAAAAATTCTATATAGTAAAATCAAATTTATTTATTAAAAAACAAAAAAAAAATTCTTTAGCTTGCATCTGCATTTCTATTTTACTAAGTAAATTAACAAAACATTTAATAAACAAAGAAATAAATTTAAAGGATTTCAAATTTATGTGTACCCACATACTTACATATATACATATGTACCTAAGTTTATTCAAATATAAATGAATTATTGTGTACATTAGAACTTAGAAAGTCTATAAATATAAGTGCTTTAAAATGCTTATTCAAAAATCGTTGTTGATGACTTTTACTTCCTTCCTATAAAAATTAAAAAACACAAAAAAATTATTCAAAAATATTTTAATGTGAAAAACTTCACGACAATATTTTAAGTAATTTAAAAAAAAAAAAATGAGAAAAAAACACTGGCCTATAAAATACATTTAAGTGAATGAGTATACTAAACCTATTTAAATAATGACCTATTGCACTTTAATTTTTAACTTATATAAGGACACATGTGTGTACAAATATGTGTAGGTAAATTACTTAAAATGTTAATAAAGCCGGTATATTATATTTTAATTTAGCTATATAATAGCTTAAATACTTGGATACAATATGTAGGTACATCCATATAATATAAAATACCATAAAGAAAAATCTAATTTACATATTCTTCAAGGTATATAACCTCTAGACTTATATATAGAAATAAAACAAAACAAAAAATCCTCAAAATCAAAAATACTTGTACAAGCACTTAATTATGTTAGGTACTTTTATTTTAAATATGTTCAAATGTATGTAAACTTACATGTATGGTGAATCGTGAGTACCACATTATTCCATATGATATATTTATGTAGTTGTATAAAAGAGTTGCCTTGTAGTGAAAATATCTAAGATCCTTGAATTAATTATTAGTTACCTTTTCTATAAATTTTCATTTATATTATGTGTATATATGTATGTATGTCTATATGTATTTAGGTGCTATTTTGGACACAATTGCAAAGGTTAAACTATATATTAAATCTATTTTCACTTTTTAAATTACATATACACATAATATAGGTACTATATATGTACATATATACATATTTGTATATTATTAGGGTTATATATTTCTGCTAAAATTTTGTTTTTATAGTTTTCTTTTCTAGTACAGTGATTACATCATATAAAAATCTGATATAGTCAGTATATAACCGATCGCAATGTTTATGGTTTAGTTTAAACACTTCTTTACAAATTTACGAACACAAGAAAGCTTTTAGTTAACATTTCTCAAAAAATTTAAATTTGGCTCTTAGAATAGAGTTTCGCTTTATGCTATTCGAATTCTATGTAAAGTTCGGCAATTAGTTTCGGCAATTAATTTAAAACAAAAATATTAAATTTCAAGAAGTATGAGAAATAAACTCATATATATAAAATTTTATCAAAATCGGTTCAGCAGAACTTGAGATAAACGCCTGTACACACAGATCAATATTCCTTTAAAATTAGTTATTTGCGCTTCCCTACTATGGGGAAGAGCATTCCCTCCGAAAAGTCGATATCCAAAATTTGGTGCCATCACATCACCACCCTTATTGCATGCAATGCAATCGGTAATTATGTACAATATACGTATTTAATGTACACATACATATTATAAGTTAATAATACCAACAATGAAAACAAACAGCATACATACTTGTAATTTAATTTTTAACTTGTATAAAGAAATTAAGGTTTTCTTCAATATTGTATGTATATACATATATACAAAAATAACTCTCACTTATATTTTGTTAAAAAAATAAAAATAAAGAACGAAATATGTAAATGAAATACAAGTTAAAATAATATGATATGTCACTATTAAGGACAGTGGAATATTTTTTTTTTTGTTTGAAATATAAAAATATAGTGTTGCCCTCTATCATTTGCATGCAAGAATACAATACAAGAACATGTACAATATATACATATTTATATACTGTATATATATATAATAAAATTACATCTACTATTTATTTAATAAAATAATATAAGGATCCTTGCAAAAATATATATTTATATTTTGAAAAAGGAGCAATAAAAATATTCGAAAAGATAATTTGCATTTACCGTGAAATTGTCTTTTTAGAAAATATTAAGTTCATTTGACTATTATGCACGAAATTCTGGGCAGTTAAAAATATTTTAATGGTGGCAATATGCGTTCCAAAAAAAAAAAAATTTTCAACTTTCCCGTTTCAAAATCTTAAAGCTGGCAAAAGTTACGAAATCTTATGTAGCAAAAAAGAGTTCGGTAGTTAAGGGTTAAAAGATAATACAAAATTTTATTATGTAATCCTTTAAAAAGAATTTCGTTCAAATATTCGGCCTCGTAATACAAGCTTCTCCTTTTTAGTTACAAATTATGTATACGTAAAGAAATTTGTGACTTTTAAAATTTCATTAAAGCCATCTCCAATTAACGATATTATCCGGATAGTCATATAATTTAATCAATTTCAAGGAAACCTGCCTTGTTTATTCAAATTGAAATCTGTATATCAGCTTCGATCAGGGCCGAAGTCAGGGGTTTAGAAGTCATATCTTAAAATTTTTGTGATAACAACGGGGTTATTCGAAATATCGTGTTGGATATCTAAATATTTTGACTTTAATTGCCGTTCAGAAATAAATACATGCGTTTTTAGAAAACAAAAAAAAATTGCCTGTCATATCTGTGGTCTGCTTTATTATTTACATTATGTGGCTTGTCATCGGTTATCACTTACCTTCCAGACACCACAATCGCCATCTATAATTGAAATTAAATTACGTATAACAATACATTGACAGCTTCAATTATCTCTTCAATAAACAAACAAATTAAAAATCTTAAATATTTTTAAATTATGTATACATACATACATATTTTATATAAAATATCAAATTTAAAGTGAAATTAATAAAAAAAAATTAATATTTTTTTTGTTTTAGCTAAAGGACGAGAATGTAATACACATGCAGATTGCTTGACAATGGAAGGAACAAGTTGTGTAAAAGATTTAAATGATGGAAAATTAAGATGTGTTTGCGGTGATAATTTAGCCCCTGTGAATGGAAAATGTTCAGCTAATAAAAAAGGTGAAATATGTATTAAAAGAAATATAAGACGATTATGTGTATAAAATATAAGACGATTATGAATTTATTAATTTTTTTTAATAAATTCATAAATTAAATAATATAACGATGCAGATGAAATTTTTAAATTTAATGAACATTAAGGTCTTTAATGTCATATGAATTGAAATTACTGAAATTATCTGAAATACCACCCGAATTTAATCTCAAATTTATATTCAATTTTTCAAGGACTCTATCATATGTGCAAACAAGTATTTGATTGTGATGAGTTTATGGTATGTGAAGAAGTGAAGATTCCATTCAACAGTAATAACGCAACAACATATAAAATATGCAGATGTGATGAAGATAATGATCATTATGAGAATAAAGAGGATAACACATGTAGTAAAGGTATAATAATATAGTGTAGCATTGAGTTTTAACATGTGTTATACATGTTAAAATTCAAATTATTCAATATTCTAAATTAATTGAGTGACAAAATTCAAAATATTATAATTTGTTGCCTTCCTATAGATTAAATTGTTTAAAAATAAAAATTAATTGAATTTATTTTAGGTATCACAATCGGACACAGCTACGCCTTACTATTAACTGTAATTGCTATCATTTTTAAATGCAGATAAATTTCACCTTTAATATATCACCTGAATCATTTACATAATGTATATGTGTTTATCGTCATTATAATTATTATATATTTTATAGAAATTTATGTTTAAAATTAAAATAAAATTAACAAATAATATAAATAAAGTGGACTCTTCACAAAATTATACATTATTAATTAAAAAAATTAAAAAAAAAAGAAAAAAAAAACTAAAAAGATATGTGCAACCAACATGAGTCAGTTTCATCACTCAAATATAGATATAAAGGAGGCAAAATATAAAAACAATTTTAAAACTTATTTCTAGGAAATTAATTATAAATATTTTTTGATTTAATTTTAATATACTTTAGGCTTTTCAGTTATTCTTTGGAAAATAAATATTTTATTCTTGTTTAAATTGTCATCTTATTTTTTTTTAATTTAAGAAGCCCTTCGATAATATTTGCTAATATTAAACAGAATCGATGTCAAATTCACATATTATTTTTATCAAAGCCATTTAAAAATTCCTTAATAAATATTATCAAAAATTATTAAATTTTTGCAACTGGTAAGGTTTCTAGGCCGCTATTGTTATAATAATTTCTTTATAATTGTTCGACATAAGATTCTGATTTTATAGAAAACAATTTTGTTTATCGAAATACTTAGTAAAAACTAGAATGTAAACTTGACACGAAAAAGATTGGATTTTGGTAGACACCCTACCTATTTATATTTAAGAATTTCGTGTTATAATTTAAATCAATCATTTGAAATCAACATAAAATGGAAATCTACAGGGTATCTAAGCATAGTAGAATAATCATTCAGTAATTCTAGAGTATCACTCTAAAATAAATTTAAAAATTCTTGTAAAAAAATTTGTTTAAAACTATATGGGGTTTAAATTAAAATTCTTGAGCCAATGTGCATTCTAAAAATTTGTAATCAACTAAGGTTATAAATAATTGATTAGTAATATGAAATCGAATAATTGTATTAAGCGCAAAATATGTTGTATAATTATTAATATCCGAATCTCTAAATGTATGCGTACAAAATTGCATTTACAATAAAAAAACAAAAGAACAAATGATCGCAAATATTAAATAAATTTCAAAATCAATGCACTTTCGACCTTTTCTTCAATATGTCTAGCATTTGTATGTCTTCTTGTATCTGCAAATCCCCATAATTATTTATAGTTTTTACAAAATATCAAAATTTTATTTATAAATACATAGATACGTGCTTATAATGATATAGCTATAGAGATACAATGTGTGTTTGTGGATTTTATGGTGTTAAATTTGCATTTTTAATAACCGCTTTTATTCATTTCATTTTGTCAACTAGATTTTAACACAAAATAATATAAAAGCCACGGAAAAAGCTTGTTTTATTCAATAAACTGTAAATCTTAAGGTATAATTATTATCTGATAACGTTTAGAATTAATTTCTTATTAATCTAATTCTTTATTTTAATTTAGAATTATTGAAATTAGATTTTTTTCTTAATAAAGATTAAGAAAGTATGAAAGTTCTAGTGTATAAAAACTGCGAAATTGTTTTTAATTTTTGATGCGCATTTGGTTTCGATATAGAAAAGCCAGATACTTACTTTGCCTAAAGCATGTCCATAAATGACTGTTTTTAGTTTCTCTAATAATTTGATTTTGTATTACATATGTGTACTTACTTACTGAATTACGCTTATTAATTCTTCTTACTTATTCATCAAATTAATTTTTAATGGTTTTATTCATGTTCATTGATTTATTAAGATTTGTTTCTACTTTCGTTAGTTTTAGCAGCATGAGAAAATCTCGAGTAAATCTCATTTAGTTATTTTAATGCATTCTTCAATTTTGATATCCTATAGTGCAATGGGACTTAATAGTACAACAAAAAATTTTTTTTTTCCAGTTGATTTCCAAATGGTTTGAAAAGTTATTCTAATCTTAAAGATTATTGAAATTCAGTTCATGATTAAAAGCGTTTTTTGCAAGACGTGACAATTTTTTTTTTTTTGTAATTGGATTACGGAATTGTGATCTTACCATATAAAAATTAATTTTTTATTCCAGAACAGAAGAATACTTAAGTGTTTTAATAAATTTAATATTTTTTTTTGAATTATTTATATCAGTTTTTTAAAAACTTACATCTCTTAAAAATTATCAGATTCGGATAAAGTTATTTTTGTTAGTTTCGAAATGGAAATTTTGGCTTGTAAAGTTTTGATATTTATTCTATGGGAAAGGCCATGAAAGGTATTGTTAATAATATTAAATATAAAATCAAATCTTAAACAAAAATATATTGAAATTAAAAAGTGTGAGTAAATCAATCAAAAACCATTTTTCAAACAGGTTAATAAATTACATAATAGTATACTAAGTAAACAAGTTTTTTTTTATGTAAAAGAAAGAAGGATGAATTTCTAACAATTTGCAATCTTAGAAGTTCACTGTTTTTACTTATTAAGCTTAATCTCATCAAAGTTATTACAAACTTATTTAAATTTTTTTTTTCATTATTTATGGTTATTTTTCAATATTCAGTAAAGCCCTAAACGTACTTCTTCTTCGTGGTGTCCTAAATAATTCTAATTTTAAGCAATATGTTTTAGTGGGAGAAAATATTATAGCAAATTACTTATTTTTCGTGTACCTATATAATATAAAACTATCAAGTAAAATTTATATAATGAATAAATCACCGAATTAATTATAAATAACAAATTAATAATTTTTAAATAAGAACAGAAATCCTTAAATTTAAAATAATTTAAATCAACTCAAATTAAATAAAACGAAAACAAAATTTTCAATAGAATAATTTAAATATAGGTTGAATAATTTAAAAAAAAAACATGTTAAAAAGTTTACTAATTTCTATTGTGTTCTTTTATAACAAATTTCAAGCTTAAAAGAAGCTCCTTTTTTTATGCTAGTTTTTGATAACTAGTTATACTAGTTTATGTATAAAAAAAAATAAAAATCTAGTTGTTATTATCACAATATGAAAATAAACTTAGAATAAATTGTAATTAGTGACAATACTTGAATCAAAATAGTCTAAACACAATAGTATTTGGGATTCGGTATCATTGGAATATGCAATTTTTTCAAACGAAAATCTTTATTTCTATTTTTTTTTTTAACTACATATATTCAATTAAATTAACTTTATATGTAATCTTAAAGTACATTATTTTATAAGAAAAAAAAAAACTTGTTATATAAAAACTACGTTACTTTCAAAGTCAGTTAACTTTATGTTGTTAAATGTCAGTTAAATTTATGTTGTGTTTAACAAAATAATATTAAAAATAATTAATACATTGAAGATTTGACAAACTGGAGCTACTACATTGTTCCAAGAATTAAAAATTTTATTTCAAATTTCTCGGTGATCCATATAAAGTAAGGCATAAGGTAATGTAAGAAAATAAAACCAATAAGCTAAAATTAAATCTATACACAACAAGAAAAAAAGGTTTAGTTAATACTTTTTTAAATTCTCTTTGAGAAAGTTAATTTCGCTTTTAATAATTTTATGCAGAATATAAATTTAATTTTTCCTATACGTTATATTATAATATTTATATTATGAAAAACAAAATTAAAAAAAAAAAAAAAACAGAAATACAACACGTATTAAATATACTTTTAAAATAAATTTTTATTAGTTTTTGTTAAAGCAGTGAAAAATATTGTCTAATAATTAAAATTATCTGAAGTTTTTCGAGTTTCACTCTATGTATGAAATACATAAATATTTATTGAGAATATGAACATATTAAATAAAAATAATTAAGAAAAAACACAAACAAACAAACCATTTTAAAGTTTTTCTTTTTAAAAATTTCTTTTATCATATTCAATACCACCTAAACAAATTTATTTTTATATTTTTGATGATATTCACTGCCTGATAAAGATGTTGCACTTGGACGCATAAGGCTTGATCCAAATTCAGGCCCAAAATTTCTTGAAATACTATATTTCCAAGGTGATGATCCAATTGATGAATGAAGCCTAAATTTTAAAATTAATAGTATTAAAAAATCTAACAATAAAAAATGAAATAAATTAAAAATAATATACCTTGAAGTTGGATCTCTAGTCCAACTAAGTTGATTACTAGGTTTAATATTGCTTAAAATTCTTGAGTTTTGATAATTTGTTAATTCATTATTTATGTTCAGTCGATTAGTTAATGCTCGCACCTTAAAATTTTAAAAACGGAAAAGAAAAGTTTTTAAATCTATAATTAATTAAAATATATGTATGATTATTACCCTTTGTAAGAGTGTTGAGAATAGATTCTCAGCTGTTAAAATTTCAAAGCCATCATCATCATCTTCTTCCCCTGAACTTTGTGAATCGCTATATTGGGGTTGTGGTTTGGAAAATTGTGATTCGAAATTCCTATAAGAAAATTCAAAAGATTAAACTTATTAGCTCTGATATTTTTTGCTTGATTCTAAATTCATATAATATTCAAGCAAGAATTTTTCATAAGAAAAAAAATATAGAAATATTCAAAATTAAAAATAAACCTTAAATGTCGCGAACTGATAGCTGAATTAAAGCTGTTTGTATTAGAATGTATACTACTTTTTGATGTATTTGCTGCACTCATACTAAGATTCTTCGGTGTTATGTAACCACCGCCTTCCATTGCTATTGGAATTATGAACTCCCTTGGACTCTTTCTAATGGCTTGTGATGATGAAGTTGCTGAGGTTATTCCTACTGATGAATCATTTGATGATTGGGACTCATACCTAGATAGATAGTAAAATAAAATTTTTTTGGTTAAATATAATTTCAAAAAGAGAAGTTTGCAAAAGTTTTTTTTTTCTGACTTAAAAACTTGCCTTGGAGTGGTTATTAATTTCTTGGAATTTTGCATTTTCGTGGAAAATGGATAGCGATTGGATTCAGTTGATGGTGATACGGGCCCCACACTGGAAGCTCTTGCAAGATATTTATTGATTGAATTGCTTCTATTAAAGGATTGCATTATAGGAGCACTTCGTAAATCTGGTAACTGATGTTGCATTTCAGTTGCGTACATCATTGGTTGTTCCATAAGTGGAGGTTGTGGTGGATTTTGCATTTTCAATTGTATTTCTGCCTTAGCGGTTTTTCGTCTTGGAAGAGTTGCTGATTTGAGTGTTATTTCTGCTTTTGATGTTTTTATATCATCACATATGGGAACTTGATGGATTAGAACTTCTAAAATTAAATTAATTAATTATATAAAAACGAAAATATTGTACGCAAGTTTTAAGCATGTTTAACTATTTTATAATTCTAAAATTTACCTGGTGACATTTTTGGAGAAGAAATAGCGTTACCGATAACTTCTCGTGCATTTCGTAATTTTCTTTCTCGTTCGTTTTCAAAATCGGTAGAGCTAGATAAACTTACAGACTCCTGTTTTGCTTGATTTAATAAGGCAATTGAATTTTGCATAGATTTTTTCGCTTCTAACAATGATAAACTTGATAATGAATTCTGAGGACTGAACGAAGTTTTTGGTAAAGGTGGAGGTGATTCAATGTTTGATTTTGGCAATACGGGTTCATATTCTATATTTTTGTTAACTTCATTTGGAGAATCTGTTCTTTCAATTTTCAATTTATCTATTGAATTTATAAAGTCGTTCATATTTTGTTTATTTTCTACAATCTTTCTCAGTGTGTCTGATTCCGGTCTAATCGCTATTTTGTTCTGACTATTTCTGAAACTGTTTTCAAATTTCGCGGCAGCTTCTAAAGTTTTTGATAATCGTCTATCATTATTTAATTCAGGTAAGCTTGTTTTTCTCATTGGGCCGTATGTACTATTGTTACTGCTTTCCAATTTTTCTGGTGAAATCTTATATAATTCAGAAACCAAGTCCGCTGTTTTGTGCTTGTTAACAAATTTCTTTATGATTTTGGCTGAATTTGTTTTCGACAATGAATCGTTTCGAATATTAGAATTCTCCAAATTATCATTTTCCTGTTGGTTTTCAACTTTCTGTGATGTTTCAACATTTGCATCAGAGGTTTCCATTTGACAAGGCTCTTCCTCAGCCAATACTTCTCCGGTTTCTAAATATTCTTTATTAAGAGATACACTAGATGCTTTAGATGGTTTTTCTTTCTTGGTTAAACTTTGATTAACTTGATCTGTTGAAACTGTTGAAGATAATTTACGTTTCGTTTGCAATACTTCTGTCATGTTAGGTATAGTACGAGTTGGTGACGGCATAAGAGCTTCTTCGCCACATGTTGCAACCATTTCAAGTATTTTTCTCTCTGCTTCAGAGTTCACAATTTCTGGAACGTTTCCAACAGAAAGACTTCTGTTAACTTTATCAGAAGATTTAGAAGATTCTGCACTAGGTACGACTAATTGTTCTGCTGTTATATTTGTAGGAGATAATGATAGTAAAACATCCAATCTTACAGGAGTTTGATTTGCCAATGCTTCAGCTAATTCTAAACATGATTCATCATAACCAGTATTAACCCACCTAAAGTATATAAAAACATGTTTAATTATTTCAATTAATAACATCAAAATAAATTTACCAATGATTACAAATTTGTTCTATATTTGCTCGTTGCTGCGGAGAAACAGTTAACATTTCCCTAATTAAACTGGATGCTTTAGAAGGATTTTTAGGTTCATAATAATCTCCTTGACTGATTTGTTTTACTAATCTCTTAAAATTTGAACCATCAAATGGCATTGAACCATAAACTAAAGTATATAACAAAACACCTAATGACCAACAATCAACTTCGGGACCCTCATATGGTGTACCCTTAACAATTTCGGGAGAGGCATAAAGTGGTGAACCACAAAATGTTGTTAAACATTTTTGATTATCAAAAAGATTTGAAAGACCAAAGTCTGCGATCTGTAAATATAATTTTAACAGTGTTCATTAAAATTTTTATATTCACGTTCTCAATTTTTTTTTGCACAATTACCACGGCTCTTTAGACCATAGACTTGATAAATGTATACGGAGTTACATTGTCAAATTGTTGATCAAAAGTTTTTTTTTGCTTTTAAACAATATAAATGTATAAGTAATAAAAATGTGCTAAAAAACTACGAAATTGCCAATTCATAAAAAATGAATAATAGAACAAAGTTAAATTAATTAGTAACAGTTTAGATCCTTATCAAAATATATTAAGATTTCTTTTTTTGGTTTTGGGTTATTTTTTAAAACAATTTATTAAAATCATAATACTTTTTTAAATTAGTGTTACAAAAAAAGCCGAAAGTTATCAAAGTTAAAATTTTATATTATAGGTATATTTTTTGTGCCATCTTAACTTTATTAGGTTTATTACAATTAAGAAAAAACTTTTTTCAGTGACACAAGAGCCAAATGTAAAATCATAACAATGTTAAAAAAAAACTAAATAGTTCTCACAAAAATAATGGGGTTATCTAGTCTATTAACAAAATTGTAATTGTTGTTAGTCAAAAGCAAAGAAAAATAAAATGCAAAACAAAAAAATTATCAAAGATACTGTATAATAAAAATATTTTAAATCCTTAACAAAAACATCCAATTTTATTATAATAAATACTTATATATATGTAGTTAAATTTAATTGAAAATTACTGGTTTTAATGATAATTATATTTAGTTATTTTATTTACCTTGGCATTTCCGTTTTCATCAAGTAATATATTTTCTAATTTTAAATCTCTGTGACATATTTTATGTTTATGACAGTAATATACAGCTGTTGCTATTTGTCTGAAAATTCGTCTGGCTTCATCTTCAGTTAGAACTTTTCTTTCAGATAAATAATCGTATAGCTCACCGCCTGCAGCAAACTCCATAACTAAAACCATTTTTTCTCTATTTTCAAAAACCTCATATATATGTATAATATTTGGATGTTGAACTGAACTCATAATTTGAACTTCTCTTCGAATTCTAATTAAATCAGCTTCTTGTTCAATTTTACATTTTTTGATCGTTTTTATTGCAACTTCTTGACCAGTTTCTTTGTTTATACCCAACTGAACTTTACCATAAGTTCCTTGACCTAATTTTTTTATAATATCGAATCTAAAATAAAAAAGAAAATTTATATCATTTCATATATAACTTATTATTAAGAATAATATCTTATTTCATAACACTTATGTACTATAAGATAATTGCTATTTGTAAAGAAAACTTTTATTTTCCTATTATTTTATGCAATAGAATGAAAGAATAAAAAATTTTGCTATTAATTTGGCAATAAAAAAGATATTTCCATGGTTTTTTAAAATGTAACTAAAAAAATATATTATAAATATATAAAAAAATCATAAGTATTCAAGTTTGAGTCTTGGATTGTTCTTTTTTTGTTAAGCATATTGAAAAAATTCATCTCTAAATTAATCATTAAAATATTTATAATTGTTTTAAATGGCTTAAATAAACCAAATCATTTTCATTCCAACAACAGATATTAATTTTATTTTTCTGGTTACAATTACTTCGGAAAAATGTTAGCACATATTCTTAAATGATGTACTTTAATAGATTTATGGTACTATTCAAAAAATTATAATATTAAGCTAAAACTTTACCTTTGTCGTAACTTTTTTCTATGATTGTTCATCTTAACATTTCCAGTATTACTAACACCACTCATAATGTTATCAATTTGATTTTGGGGAACACCAGAAGGATGTAATGAACTAGCCATATTTGCTTCGTCAACAACCATTTTTTTTTGGGCTACAAATATAAAAAATAAAGAAGAATTATAAAAAAACAGCAAAAAGAAAAAAAGAAAACAAATAATAAACATGTATTTTTTATTGAGGCAATATAAACATGAAATAACCCAATAAAATTTTAATGAAAATTTTTAAAAGAAAAAATAAACAGAAATTGTACATTAATGCTTATCCATACTTATAAGCATGAATCTAAATTCTAAACATAATTTTTCATTTCTCAAGGGTGATCAACAATATTTTTTTTTATAATTATATATATGTATATCATCATATTCAATACCATAATCTAACATTAATATACATATTGAATAAATCTAAAAAAAGAATTGTCTATACTTATTGCTTGCATTAAATTATCAACTATATTTGATATTATTCTGTTTATAAGTTTAAAAAAAAATGACATTCAAATATTTTCGAATTTTATTCAAATTTGGATAATTACTAAATGAAAGCATACATAATTTATTTTGTTACACTCTTGTATATTGAAGTACACATGAATGTACACTTAAGTAAATTGAAATATTTAAACAGAGTCATTGCAATATGAACAAGATTTTTGAAATATGCTACTTAAAACCAATAGTAATATTCAGATTTTTGAAAATAAGTAAATTGATTTTTTATTAAATCTGCACAAATGTATTTTTTTAAAAGAAGAAGAAACAAACATTGTGTTTTTTTTTTTTTATTAATATTCCTCTTAATTATCATTCTTCCGAAAAGTTATTTTTATTATTAAAAATTCCGGGTTAATACTTTTTGTTTTAATATGAAGGAAACATCTGTTTTTGTTAACAAAATAGAAAAAATAGTTTCATTTTTCGTTTTATTATTTATATATAATATTATTGTGCCAAAAGAAATAAGAAAAAAACGAAAGAAGAATTTTTTGTTTTTTGCGTGCGGCCACATACGTTTACGATAAATTAAAGAATGAATTTTAAGCATCTTTTATTTTTGAATTAGTATAGACTTAAAAACTGAAATAGCAAAATACAGTGATTAGTTAAAATATCAAATTTGATATAGGTAAGTAGTATTTTATGATTTTTTTTTGCTTGTGAGTTTTATATAAATAACTTTTGAAATGTCTTATTGCGAAAATTCATTTACTTATCTAAATACAAACAAATTACTTAGTATCTATCGCAGATACAATTTATTGAACTTTTATATATTAAGTATTAGATCCTTAATGTAATTTTGAGAAATTTTTTAAAAGTTGTTATATATACTTATTACCTACCTATTAAAAAAATAATATTATTAGTATAAAGAGTCATAATAGAACTATAATGAATTGTTTTTTTATTAATTAACTAAAAAGTTTTTAAAATTTCTGTTCGTACAAGTATTACAATCATAAAATGGCCACTGAAACTAATCGTTATATGAATTAAATCAATTTTCTTTCTTTAATTTTTGATACCCTTTATTACTGAAACTGCAATCTTTTCCAGCTTTCAATTGAAGCCAAAAGTTAACGGTAAATATCTTAACAAGCGCAATATAATGGTTATTTTAGCTTAAGCAATTTAGCGTTAAATTTGACCATTAAGTAATGTTTTTTGTAATTTTTAATTTCTTCGAAAAATATACAACAATTTTTTTATAATATGTACATAAAGTATGTATTGTTATGTTATATTATTGAAATAATGGTAGACAATCGTTGTTTTTTTAAAAAATTTTGAAATATGTACTATTTACCTAGATATATTGTTCAAGGGGAAAAGTGTTTCCTTAAAAAACATTAGTTTAATTCCACTTTATGTTTAAATTCCAGTCAATTTCAGAGCCGAATTTTGATTTTTCAGTATTTAATTCCATTATAAATAAAATTGATTTGTATAACATGCAAATTTACAAATAAATTTTTAGTAAGAAGAAAATATTATCTATTTACCTACCTACATAAGTGTAGATTTACATGAGTAAGTATTTTTACAAAGAAAAACAAATAAAGATTCTTATCTGAAACAATGTAGGTATTTAAGTATTTGTCACATTTAAACCATAATTTTGTGTTTATTAATTAAATTATTCATCAACTGTAAAAAATGGGTAGGTATAAGTATTATACATATTTAGTTAAATTTTCAAGCTCAATATAGAATTATGGTATATAAGTATTTAAATGCATACATATTTATACACTTACAATATACATATATAAACATCAATAAATTTCTTAATATTCAGATAAGATATGTATAAAAATTTTTACACTAGATTTAAATTTTTTTTTGCAGCTTGAATTTTTTTCAGCCGGATATCACACCTGACAATGTTGAATCAATTGATCAATAAAAATTGAGTTCAAAAACATGTAAAAGAAGAAAGGGTGTGATGATTGATAGGACAACAGAAAATTAAACATTTTTTTTAAATTTTTGATTTATTGATACTACTTACTAAAATAATCAATTTTTTAAGACATTTTCATTATATTTTCATAAAAATACGTAAATAATAGGTACCAAGACTTGTGTTATAATTACCTACTAAAAATCCTATTTACGGGCTGCATATGGGTATACATAGTTTCTTACCTATTTACCTATTTTAACTATAAATTCAACAAAGAGGTCAAGGATTTATTTTGCAGAATTCTTGTTTTTTTTTTCTGTTGAAAAAAAACTTTCAGAAATACATTGGTAAGTAGGTAGTTATACAATATTGTATAATAAAAAAATTATAATTTTGAAATATTATTTTAATGGAAACTTTCGAAAAAAAAGAGAATAAAACTTTTAAAAAAACAAAAGTACATATAAACTACTAATATGCGCGAAATTCAAATAAAAATTCAATAAAAGAAAACAAAAAATAAACTACCATTTGCAACGCCTACAAAATTCCATGCACATGTATGAATAAAATTTGTTAAATACAAAGAGAGACATTAAATTTAACGTTCTTCCAAATCCATGCGGTTACAGAGAAAAATCAAAAAAATCTAAAAACAAAATTAAATGGAAAATTTAAATTTACATTGATACTCACCTAAAAAAATGTTAGCTTATTGTATATTGGTTTTAAATCAGCTATAAATTTAAGTTTTTCAATATAAATTTTAACTCTTTTTTTTTTCTATAATAAATTAACACAACTGCATATTTTAATAATCTTTTAAGCATGAAAGCAACAGTGAAATCTTATTTTTTAACGCCAACACAATTTACATGTACGTATAGTTTGGTTATACGTAGGAATTTATCCCTACTATGTTTAACAATTAGATCACTTTTCTGTTTATGAAAGTAAAATATAGGTGTATATTTGATGAAATTTTTTTTTTTTATACAATTTATATATAAATTTTTTTTTGTTTTTGATTTTCCTTAATTTTTAATTTTGCAGACATCCTAAATAAAATTCTGATTAAAAAATAACTTAAATATGGTTGTTCTTTTCTTCATCGGAAAGAAAAAAATAATGTCAAAAAGAATGTTCTTCCAGTAAAATAATACTTAAATTTGAAAATAAATATGTATGTAAAAAATAATTTATATATTATATATTTGTTCAACCAGCGCTTTAAAATATATTACATAATTAAATTTGAAATATTTTAAATAGATATAACTAATAAAATATAAAATGTATATATAAATATAATTGTATCGATCAGAAATTCAGTTTTAAATTTATAAAATTTTAAGTTCTATTATCGTACTCAATTTAAACATACATATAAAAAATTTTAAGATAATAATATATATTTTATTTAGATATATATGTAATACAAAAAATATACATATATATTATGAAAAGTAGATGTATATTGTGCAAATTGTATGATTGTATATTATGTATATACAATTATTTTCGTATCTAAATATAATTTATAGGTATGTATATATAAACGAAGTTGCACATATTTTATTGAACTACTAAAAATATTTCTATTAATTTGTTTATTTAATATACGAAAAAAAAATAATTAATCATAAAACTATATTTAATTAAATAATTTTAATATCTATAATATTTATTATTTTATGAATTATTTTTACTTTCTTTTTAAAAACGAAAATCACCAATTCACATTCTTTTATTAACCAACGTCAAAGTGAACCTAAAAATTCATTTTGAAGTTTGTTTTCTTCATTGAATTATGACAATTCGACAATCTTAGCATTGCCACAAATTTAAAGCTAAAATATATTTATTTTAAACTCATTTATTAAATTCTGAAAATCAATCACAAATTCACGTTCTTTTATTAATGAACGTCAAAGTGAACTTAAAAATTCATTTTGAAGTTTATTTTCTTCACTGAATTATGACAATTTAACACTCTTAGTGTTGCCACAAATTTATTGCTAAAATATATTCATTTTGATATCATAAATAAAATTCTGAAAATCTTATTCGCAAAAAAAAATGCGGCTGACTTCGAAAAAAACTGAATCAAAAAATAATTAAATTATATTTATTTCACAGACGATTATTTGTGCTTTGAAAAAAAAATTTTAGCTAACTTGTTAGCGTAAAATTTTAGTTAACTTATAATTTATCTTAATAAAAATATTGTATTAAAATATATTTATTAGGTATTTGTCAATACTTAAACGTTTGTTAAATAAATAAAATAATTAATACAACTTGTCAAAAAATTTAATAACAGGTTCTTTCAAGAGATCGAATTAAACTTTAACTCAGTTAGCTTAGTAAAAATAATAAACTTTGTCTCATTAGTTACTCCTTTTTAACCAAAAATTTACTCCTGTTTAACAAAAAAATTAAATTACAAGCAGTAAATGTCAAAATGTCAATAAGTGCACTTATTTAAAAATTGTAATCATTTTCTACTGCAGGTTTATGTTTTATTAATGTCTATTCCGTTTCAACAAATTTTATTTAAATTCTAGCCAAATCAATGATGTTATGAGATCAACTTTATTAGAAAATTTGTGGCTAAGTAGAGTCTAAGTACGTTTTTGTTTTTTCAGATCACTCAAAATTTGCGTTCGTCTTCGTTTTTTACCTCATTGCGTTCAGAGCGAAAAATCGTATATATCTGACGGTCGAGCGTGCTTTCATCTCGCTTTACGAGCTTAAAGCAATTTTTCAAATTTCTCATAAGCTCATAAATTTTTTTTTCATTTAAAAAATTATTAAATTACGGACAAAGTTCTGTTCGTTTGTTTTTAATGCTCAGAATAAGAATTTTTTTCATCATTTCAGACCGTGCTTCTGGTAATAAAATGCTGAAACATCAGATTGATCCTCTTTGCTAAAATATGAAAACACCCATTGTGAGATTGCTCAAACCGGCTTGAAGTCTGCTTGAAGTTTGATATAACGTCATTTATGGATCTAAATTGGATTTTCAAATACGAACACTCTTTAATGTTTCCATTCAAATCCATAGTTCTGTCGTTATTTGTGTTTAGTTAATATTTTGAATCATAGTTTATTTATTAAATAATTATAATTTTTCATCCAGAGCATAACGTTTTTAAAATGAACTGTTATTACCCTTTTTATTTTAGTCATAGGTTAGCCTTGAGTATGAATGTTATCAAAGGACAATTACTGTCAAAAATAAATGTCGTAAAAATGAAAATGAACTAACAACGATTTTGACTTTTTAGAAGAAATGGCAATATCGCAAAATTGGCAAATTTTTTAAATGAATTTGACATTTGGTAGAAAAACGTTCCTTGTTGTTCTTTTGAAAAGTGAGAATAATGGCGGCCGAGCACGCACAATTTCAACAAGTTTTAAATTCACTACTTTCAACGGATAATGATGTTAGATCACAGGCTGAGGTAAATATAACTATTTAGATGTTATAAATAAATAGTTTTAGCATGAAGATTTAATAAAATTAAGTGGTTAAAACATGTTTCATGTGCACCGGGGTAACACATTACATGTGTCATGTGGAAGTTGAATAAAAGCATATTTAAGTTATTGGATTAGTGTCGCTTGAAATAATTTCCATGTGAGCCAAATTCAAATTATTTCTTCAAATATATACATACATAGGTTAATTAGTTTAAAATTGTAATATAATTAAAATGAAACCTCGTTACCAGTAAGTAAAACGTGTAACCTAAACTTTTCGGATTTATGTATGTAGATACCTACCTACATGGGTACATATTATATTTCGATTATTCATCCTTCTGAAAATGACTGTGCCCATATATTCATTATAAAAGAGAGAAAGTTATGTGAGTAAATATTTTATATATTGGGCAAAAACGAGTAGAATTATTAAAGAAGAAATTTTTATACAAAGGACAACAGAATTTTTTGTTGCATAAAAAATATCCTACTAATTTTGTAATTATTGGAAGTCAATAAAACATAAAGTCGTAAGAAAATACACTCATATTGTAAATAGTCAATAAATATTTTCTAAAAATAGTTAAGTAAAGGTTTAAATATTTCTATAGCAAATTAGAAGAATTGTCACCTTGAACATGAAAAATTATTGATATTAGGTAGGTGTATGGGTACCTACCTAAGTGTTACTGCGATTAATTTCAAAAAACTTCGAAAGCTTTAATCTAATTTCTTTTTAGCCATCTTTTAAAAATGAAACAAAAATTATTGCATTTCATATAATAGGTAGAAAGGTACTTAAAATTATTTTACAAGTTCCTAAGTATACGAAGAAAGTTTTACAATCTCGACATATGGATATATGTGATGATATAAGTGCTATTATCTCAAGGACTTTTTTATTCAAGGCTCTTGAAATGATATTTTTGTCCTTTATGTTGTCCAAATTTGATTATATTGCACAAGGATACATCTACATTATACTTATGCATATTACCTAATTACAAACTTAATTAAAAATTAAAAAAAACATTGGGCCCTCTTAATTTTTATTTGGTATGGAATTCTGTTTTTCTAAAACTTACTTTTTGTTAAAACACATGTACATATATTCTATTATGATAAACAAAACAATGTTCTGAAAAAAATTTTTCACTTTAAGGAAACATATAATAATTTGTCTAGAGATGTGAAAATTACTCAGCTTTTGGCAGCAATTCTAAACGGACAGATGTCTGAGGAATGTCGCACTATGGCTGCAGTTCTCTTACGTCGCCTTTTTACAACAGACTTTTTAGAATTTTATCATGAGGTACTTTCCGTTTAAATAATGCGTACAATAGTTTACATAGATACATCTTTCTAAGTAATTTTTTACGACTATTTTTGTAGTTGCCTCCCGAAGCTCAAGCTCAATTTTTACAGCAAATTTTATTGTCTGTACAACAAGATATAACACCGAGTTTAAGGCGAAAAGTTTGTGAAGTTGTGGCCGAGGCTGTAAGAAATTTAATTGATGAAGATAGTAACAATCAATGGCCAAATTTCTTCCAATTTTTATTTCAATGTGCAAATTCAACCTCTCCAACTTTACAAGAATCTGCATTAAGGATTTTCGCCTCTGTGCCAGGTGTATTTGGAAACCAAGAAGCGAATTATTTGAATTCGATAAAAGAAATGTTGCAAAAATGTTTGATTAATCAGCAATCCGAGGTTAGATTTCAAGCAGTACGTGCTGTTGGCGCATTTATTCTTTTGCATGAAAAAGATTCGATGGTGTTAAAACATTTTTCAGATTTATTACCCGTTATGATAATGATTACTGCTGAAAGTATAGAAAAACAGGATGATCAAAGCTTAGTAAAACTTTTAATTGATATGACCGAAAGTTGTCCTAAATTTTTGAGACCGCAACTTGAAGTAATCTTTGAGATTTGCATGAAAGTATTTAGTAATAGTGAAGTAGAAGACCAGTGGCGACATTTAGTTTTAGAAGTAATGGTTTCTTTATCTGAAAATGCATCTGCTATGGTTCGGAAGAAAGCTGAAAAATATATTATTACTCTGATACCATTAATATTGCAAATGATGACTGATTTGGAGGAAGATGAGAACTGGTCAACTTCGGATATTATTGTGAATGAAGATAACAGCGATAATAATGCCATCGCCGAATCCTCATTGGATCGATTAGCATGTGGGCTGGGTGGGAAAACAGTTTTACCTTATATTATAAATACAATCCCTTCAATGTTGGCAAGTCAAGATTGGAAACAAAGATATGCCGCATTGATGGCAATTTCTGCTATTGGAGAAGGTTGTCATAAGCAAATGGAACAAATGCTTGACGATATAATGAATGGCGTGTTGAACTTTTTGAGAGATCCACATCCACGCGTCCGCTACGCTGCATGTAATGCGATCGGTCAAATGTCAACGGATTTTGCCCCCAATTTTGAAAAAAAGTTTCATGAGCAAGTTATTCCTGGCTTATTAAGTTTGTTTGACGACGTTCAAAATCCACGAGTTCAAGCCCATGCTGGTGCCGCTTTAGTAAATTTCAGTGAAGATTGCCCAAAAAATATTTTAACGAGATATCTAGAGGGCATTATGGCGAAATTAGAAAGCATTTTGAATGCTAAATTCAAAGAATTAATTGAAACTGGTAATAAATTGGTACTTGAACAAGTTGTGACAACAATAGCATCAGTAGCTGACACCTGCGAAAAAGAATTTGCAATATATTACGATCGTTTTATTCCATGCTTGAAATACATCATTCAAAATGCGAACGCTGAAGAATTAAGAATGTTACGAGGTAAAACCATTGAATGTGTAAGTTTAATAGGTTTGGCTGTGGGTAGGGAGAAATTTATAAACGATGCAAGCGAAGTTATGAATATGCTTTTAAAAACTCACACAGAAGGTGACTTACCAGACGATGATCCCCAAACTTCTTATTTAATATCAGCATGGGCCAGAATGTGTAAAATTTTAGGAAAACAATTTGAACAATACCTTCCTCTAGTAATGGGACCTGTAATGAGAACAGCTGCTATAAAACCTGAAGTAGCTCTGCTTGACAATGAAGAAGTTGAAGATATCGAAGGGACAGTTGACTGGTCGTTTATCAATTTGGGTGAACAACAAAATTTTGCTATACGAACAGCTGGTATGGAGGATAAGGCATCAGCTTGTGAAATGTTAGTTTGTTATGCTAGAGAATTGAAGGAAGGATTTGCTGATTATTGCGAAGAAGTTGTTCAGTTAATGGTGCCGATGTTAAGATTCTATTTCCATGATGTAGTTCGTTCAGCGGCTGCAGAATCTTTACCATATCTTCTAGATTGTGCTAAAATTAAAGGACCACAATATGTCGAAGGAATGTGGAATTACATTTGCCCAGAATTATTAAAAGCAATAAGCACAGAGCCAGAACCCGATGTTCAGTCAGAATTATTACAATCATTAGCTAGATGCATTGAAACACTAGGAGCAAACTGCTTATCTGAAGATTCAATGAAGGAAGTTTTAAAATTAATTGCAAAATGTATGACTGAACATTTTGAAAAAGCTGATAAAAGAGCTCTCGTTCGAAATGAAGAGGATTACGACGATGGTGTTGAAGAAGCATTAGCAGAAGAAGATGACACAGATACTTATTTGCTATCAAAAATTGCTGATATTGTCCACGCCCTGTTTATGACATATAAAACAAGTTTCCTTCCATACTTCGATCAGATTGTTCCGCATTTTGTAAAATTATTAGAACCCGTAAGATCTTGTTCCGATAAGCAATGGGGCTTGTGTATATTTGATGATTTAATAGGTAAATATGATTTTTCCAAAAAGAATAAAAATATTTGAATATCTTAATGTTAAATTTTTATAAAGAATTTAGCGGTCCTTTGTGTGCACAATATCAACCAGTTTTTATATCAAGTATGTTACAATATGTGACAGATAAATCGCCAGAAGTACGTCAGGCAGCCTCTTATGGATGTGGTGTTTTAGGACAAGTATAACTTTTTTTGAAATACAACACATATAGCTTTATTGATTTTTTTTCTTTCATTTTAATAGTTTGGAGGAGAACAATTTGCTGTAACTTGCGCTCAAGCCATCCCACTTCTAGTTCAAGTAATTTCCGCAGAAAAAAGTCGTGAACCCGAAAATATTAATCCCACAGAAAATGCTATTTCAGCAGTAACAAAAATATTGAAATATAATAGTTCAGCATTACAAAATGTCAATGAAATAATTAATTTATGGTAAGAAAATTAAATTCTGTTAAAAATATATACACCTAATATAGTGAAATGCAGCTCATATTTCATTTTCATATCGAATTTTGATTTATATGACAGGTTTTCATGGTTACCAGTTGTTGAAGATGATGAAGAAGCAGTTCATGTGTATGGATATTTATGCGATCTTATTCAATCAAATAATGTTATCATATTGGGTAATAACAATTCAAATTTACCTCGAATCGTATCAATTATTGCTGAAGCATTTAGTGTGGGTGTAATTAAAGTTATGAGTGAAGAGGGAGTTCGTATGATAAATATAGTTAAGCAAATTGAATCAAACCCCGAAGTGTTTCAAGCTTGCGTTTCGGTACTAAGACCTGATCAAAATGCAGCACTTGAAGAAGCGTACCGAGAATTTTCAGCTTCACAGACATCCTAACCCATATTAAGTAAATGTCAGTGCTTTATTGTACGTCCTTTATTTTCTATAAATAATAGTCAATATATTTCAATATAAATTAAAAAAGTAATTTTTACTTTATATCGTTAAAAAAGTTTTTTTTTTTGCCCTTTTACTGAACTATAACAACGATTTTTTTTTTTATTGTACCATATTCTTTTTTGGTACTTTTCATAATTTGTGCTATTTTAGTTTTCATATTTTTCATAAATTCATGTATTTTTTAAATTAATATTCCTTTAATTGAAAAATTTTAAATTATGTATGTATTTAAAAAATTTATAACAGATATTTATGCATCAATATATTCAAAAATTAATATTGAGTAAACTAATAGTGTAAATTCTCATGCAAAAAATAAAATAAAAAAATAAATATACTAAAGGAGTTTGTAGAAGGTTTTCTTTTGCAAAAGTTATTTTAAACTAACTTGATGTAGTTTGTAGGTTTTGCATTTGATTTAAATATTTAAATTAAGTGTTTAATAGAAAAATGAAAGCTACTGGCAAGTGTAAATTTCTAATATTAAACGTACCCATTTTTATTACATATTGAATTTTTGTTTTTTTTTTAAAGAAAAACAGTGTCCCTTCATTTCTTTTAAAATGTAAATAAGTAGAGCATAATCGAAAAATTTAATTTTTAAATAACAATTCCAAATTCAAAGTTTTAATAATGTTCAAATCATTATTATAACAATATTAATTAAAATTTTCACTAAGCAGAGAATTTCTCGAAATTTATATAATATTATTTTACTGAGCAATGATGAGTAGAAACTTAAATATAAAATTGAAACAGTTTTTAAATTTTGTAATGTTCTATTCGGTTGTACATACATTGTAGTAATGAAATTAAAATATCTAGATGCGCTTCTCTTTTTGAAAAAAAAAAAAAGATATTTGTAAAATTTAAAATAATTACAATAAGATTATAAAAAAGAGTTAAAAGCTCTTTGAAAATATCAACAAAAAAGAAAAACAAACTAAAATAATCGTATTTTCTACGATTCTGATCCAAATCTTTTCTTCATTTAACTTGAAAATGGAGCTGTGCATGTATGAATGTATTTCATTTCATTAAATTATTAAAAATTTATGTATAATTGCAAAATTTGTAATTAATTTTTTTTTTTGTTTTTGATGACTAATTAGTCAAAAATTCACTAAATCAAAGAAGAAAAGAAAAATGAAAAATGATATAACAACTTTTATATGACTTTAAGCATTCAAAGTAAAAATCTAAAAGTTTTTTACAAAAAAAAAAAAAATTGTTAGCTTAACTCGGAACTAAGTTATTATTCAATTAGTACGTAGTCTTCCTTTAAGTTGTTCGCATAATACATTTTAATTCAAGAATATAAAAATCCAAATAAAACTAAAAAACGTTACATATTTTATTAAAAAAAAAAAAAAATTACTAAAAATTTATATTTTTTTAAAAACTATTATAAAATTTGTAAATTATCGTCCCTTACAAATTTATGTTGCATAAAAAATTTAAATATGTAACAAAATGAAATCAACTACAGAAAGAATTATATTTCGTGAACTAGAATTATGATCTCATGTTTTAAAATAAATTTTTATAATAGAAAAATTAAAATGAACTGACGACCGTCAATTCTTATTGACCTTAAATTTATCTCATTTAAAAAGAATTTTTTTACAATATTTATTAAAAATCAACAAAATTATTAAAAATATAATGCTACTATAAACAGTTTTTGTAAAATTTTTGTAAAACATTACAAAAATTAAAAATTTAATAAAAAAAAAATTGTATGTATATAAAAAAAAAAGCTCTTTGAAGTGATAAAATCGTAAATTGTAATGAACTTTAATGTTCTACTTTTCAAAGTGATTAGAGTAAACAAAAAAAAAAAAAAACATATTCCAAAAATTCCATTACTAAGGGACCACCATAACATTTAAAAAATTAATTAACTATTGTCAATTGTTTTTCTTTTTATTTTTGTTTTCAATTTCAGCGTATATAATACATAAAAATATTTAAAAAATACAAAAATTAAAACAAAAAGAAGAAAAAAGAATTTAAATATCATTTAGTTATGAATCTTAAAATTTTTTTAATAAATTTTAATTAAAAATTTATTGCTATATTAATCTCAAAATGTTATTAAACTGTATTGAATTGGTCAATTCGTATAAATTTAATTTATAGACAAATTGTATAATTGTAGAAAAAAAAATTTCATTTCTATAGTTTTTTTTGTTTTTATTGAATTGAAATCCCATTAGAAAACTATAATTGTACTATTCAAGTTAACAGATCCTACCGCTGTTCTCCAACATATATAATAGAAAATTTTTTTGTAAATGATTTTCATAAAAATATACATACTAAGTACTTGGAACATGAAAATTGATGTAATAAAATTGATTAATAAGAATCGCTTTACGAAACTGCTGCACTGATATTTTATAAGAGTTTTAAAATTTTTATTTATCTTTTCTCATTAAATGCTTTTCTACTATGAATTGAAACTCAATTCAATAAATTGTTTGTCTTTACGAATTGATGAAAAGAAAAAGTTGTTATTAAATTGTAATTTTAAAATAAAAATTTTAAAAGTTTGCATCACGAATTCAAAAAACAAAAAAAAAAAAAAAAAAAAAAAAAAATCAAGAATATTTAAATTTATTTCTAAAATAAATGAATGCATTTCCCTATATTTTTTATTTTTTTTTTTTATTTTTGTAATTAAAATATAATTTTTTTTTTGTGTTAACCAAATTTTTATACTGGAAATGCTTTGTTAAGGATAACTGTTTAATATAAAGAATATAGAAAATGATTATGATGAGGAATTAAAAAAAAAAAAACAACAAAGCTTTCTCAATTATAATATTCATTTATAAATGCTTATGATGATATTAAATAAAATTATTGAATAATTTAAAATGGTTTTTTAATTTTTTATTTTGCTTGTATTTTAATCATTGCTGTTTTTTTCCTTTTTTGATAACGATATTTTTATTTTAGCTTTAGCTTATTGAGAACTTCAAATTTTACTTTTATATTTTAAAATAATTAATATTACAAGAATTCATATCTATCTTGTAAATATTTATGATAACATTTTGAAAAACACTTAAAATTTATGAATTTTCAAATTGCGAATTATCAAAAAATCATTAATGCTTTGTCATATTTAAAGTAAAGTTTGTAATATATAGAGAATTTTCGAAAATTTAGTTACAACTTAGATCTTAATATAAAGCGTGTTCGATAAATTAAAATTACAAAATTTTCAAATGCAGTATGTTTGATAAAGCTTTACTAAATAAATCGTAACATGCTTGAATTCAAAGATTTCTTCATCATTTTTAAAGATTCTCTTAAATGCGGCAAAATAATTTTAAGTTTGAAAAAAAAATTACATAGAAAAATGTAAGATAATAAAAATCTTATGACGTAAATTAGTTAGTTCCTGCAGATCTGTAATGATGGCAAAAAAATTATGTTAAAGATTTAAATTAGAACTTTAATTGCATATCTGAATTATTGAAAATCCCCAGAATAAAAAAATTTAACTGCTAAAGTATCTTTTATTTTGAATGGAATAACTAAATGTGTTTAATATTATCTAGAATAATTATACAAAAAAAGCATACATATAGATGAAAATAACAAAGTGCGTGCTATCCAAATTAGAAATTTTAAATACTCATTGAATATACCATATATGTACGTAAATTTTAAAAGCTTGCAATGAATAATGTAAAAATATAAGAATTTTACTTTTATTTCAATGCAATAACGTTATGAATAACAATTAATGTAAAAATTTTATAGAATAAGGGTATATGTATTTGGAATCAATTCATTTTTTGGTTCTTATGGTTTTTAATATAAATATCGCCTTCGTACAACAGTGTAAGTCTAAATATAAAAATTTATTATTAAAAAAAAATAATTAATCAAAAAGAAACTCAAAAATGTTTTTGGCAATATTATGTATTCATTCTCCTAATTTTTAAAAATTTTTGCTTAATATATTGTTCATATATTTTACATTTTTACATTACATATTAAAAAGTATAGTAAAAGAGTTAATCTAGTTAGTACAATTTAATTTGAATCACTATTATGTTTTACATGCTTTACTTAAAAAAAAAAATTAGTTTTTTTTTTTCAAGTCTCTAAAATCGATCTGATCGATTAGAATGTATTGTTGAACCTCCGCTTGTATATCCTTTATTAGCCATATCCCTTGCTTGTAAAGAATATCTTGATCCATATTGGCTACCATGCCAACTTCTATATGGATCATATTCTTCAATTATTGATGGATCTTTTTCAATTATCTACAAATAAAAAAGAAATTAAGATTAATATTAAAAAATTCATCAATTGTTATTTTGGTGTAATATGATTGATATTTACCTCAGTACGTGCACAACTGCAAGTCATTGCTGTACACAAGAAAATGTTCATTAGTAACATTATTAAAAATAGAACACATATTGCAATTGTCAACCAAAGTAACCATTTTGGACGAATACCACCTTCTTCACAAATTTCTGCACTTACTGTAATTGTTTAATAAATAATAATAAGTATGTATTCATGTATTTGGAAAATGATTTTTTAAATAAGTTGAATAAGTACCTAAGTTTTCTGCTGGATCTAAAACAAAAACTGTTGTTGCTCCCAATAACATTGCATCGCTATTCTCTTTTACAGTTGTTGTTTTTGTACCAACTGCACCACCAACACCGGCAATAGCTACATTATTGCAATTTGGTTCTTGAAAACAACTTTCTTCACATGATGACACATCACATTGCAAATGTACTTCAGAATCTAAGTTAAAAATTAAAAACCATCTGTATTAAATCGTTCAGATTTTGCAAAATTCTTTTATTTACACGTTTTAATTATTATTGGGGTCTCTTCTTAAAAATTAAATGTATAATACTTATGTAGTGCTTGAAGAATACGAACATTTAAATAAAAGAATATTTTTTAATTTGAAAAATTTCAAATTAAAGATTGTTTTTCATATTAAGGTTATGAAAATCCAATAAATCAATTTGTGTAAAAGTTTTTTAACTCACGCATTGTTTTAACAAGAATAGGAATGGTGTCAAAATTCTTTTTCTTTAATTTATATGCAAAAACTGTAATTAAAGATCAAATAAACTCGCGTGGCACTCCCATTTTGTAAAATCTGTGTAACATAAATTTAAATAGTGTAAGAATGCCATGCGATTCTTTCTGATATTGTTTTTAATTTTAAAGCATTCAATTAATAAATATAAATACATAGTTATATTATTCGAATACACATTTTTTTTTTAAATTTGCAAGATAAATAATGTACGAATATTGTAAATGCATAAATATTAGTAGTAAAAAGTAAATGCACATAATCAATTGATTGATTAGAAATTCTTATGTAAATCTGAAATGCATATCTTAAATATGTGCATATGTATGTTGTAAATTATTCTCGGGACGATCTTTGTAATTCAAATCAAAATTTGGAAATTTTTTGTGGTTTCTAGAAAAACAAAAAATTTATTTTTTCCCCATCACAATATTATAGAGTTCTACATAATGTTAAATTGCACCCTACTTTTCAGTTGTTACTCTTTTTTTTAAGTTCAACATTTCATTAAAGTCCCCCTTATTATTTACATGTTCAAGTTCGAAAATTTCTGGTTAGAAATAAGTACCGTATTCCCAATGTTCAATATCATTATTTTTTCAAAACCAAATTACTCACCGTCTGGGAATTTAAACATAGATTTAATATAAGCATCAGCTGTTTTTCCATCACTATTCGGTCGGAATGATGACATAATGGAATCAACAGGACACCTAAAAATTAATATTTAATTTATGAAATGCTTTAAATTTATTGACCATATTTTAGTATAATTACCCATCACTATCAATCAATGTTAAATTGAAATTTTTTTTATCAAAAGCAAAACAATTTGTTACCCTGATTCCATTTGTTTCTAAAAAAAAAAATATAAAATTTATAAAAAAAAAAACATTTGTAATTTTAAATAAAAAATTTGAAAGTATTTTTTTCTTGTATTATATTTACTTTTAGGTTCTAAAATTTCTGCTCTTAAATTGTAATCATGTCCGTAGATTGCTTCTCTAATTCTCCGTTCATTTTTAATTAATTTCAAAATTACTTGTGAATTGCTGTTTCTGCAAAAAAAAATTTTACATTTTAATGATAATTTTTAAGCAATGACCCTTAATATATTTTTATAATTATACGTTTACTGTACTATTATGAATTAAAGAAATTAATAATATTATAATAAAACAAAATAAATTACCTTGAATATGCTGCTTTACCACATGTTATCACATAAAATTTGTCATCGGCTAATTCAAGCGTTCTATGTACACGTACCGCTAATTGTATTGATCGTTCTTGAGATTGCTATTATATTTAAGAAAATTTTAAAGAAGAAAACAAGTTTGAAAAATTGTTAATTATATATGAAAAAAGGAAACTTAATAATATATATATGTACGTATAAACATGCTAGCTTACTTGTTCATTTGTATTGCTTACAAGTACACCACAAAAATCCGGTAATGATGGTTTAGATGTTAAATTTATTGTTAAATTAACAGATGTTGAACCATTACCATATGCCATACATTTTGGTGTTCTATAATCTCTAGCATGAATTACACCTGTATATGGCATATTCATTTCAGCTTTAATATTCATTGTACTACCTTTACATGTTGCTGATATATGTGGACTGAATTCGATTGCAGGTTCCTGGCAAAGAACCTATAAGAAAGGATAAAAGAAATTTTAAAATTTTTATTAAAAATATATAGATATTCACATTTTATCCGATTATTTTTATATTATCTAAAATATTGTATTTATATTGTATATTAAAATTTCCATTTTGGAAAAAAAATTAGCTTAAATGTATATGAGTTAGAAATTTTGGAAAAAAAATGAGTTTAAAAGTATATATATATGAGTTAGAATTTGCGGCTATTGAGATTTAATTTATTATAATAATAATATGAGCCGTTTATTTTGAAAGTGGCATAAGTCACTTTTTCAAAAAAATCAAGTTAATGGCAACACTAAATACAATTGAACGGTATCTTTTAATTTTAAAATATTTTGCACTCAATAAGTTGAAAACTATTGAGATTTGTTCGAGAAAAGTTTTGGTAATTAACGGTATAACAAACATGTTTATTTTGAAAGTGGCGTAAGTCGCTGTACTCGGGAAATTAATTATGGAGTTTAGTGTGAAAGAAATAGAAACATGTTATAAACTTGTTTGAAGTTTTGTTTTTATCTATTTTCAGTATTTTTAAAAAAATTGTGATCATTGGATTTATTTTTATAAGTGCGGTGCTCATAATTATTTCAATATGGAATTAGTGCTCATTTCGAGCAAGAACGTATTGAGTTGCTTAAGTATTGTTTAGAAAATATTTTATTTTTAATGTATTTATTTGCGAAGAGTTTTTGAGACAGAACAAACAAAATTAAATCAATATAGAGGCAACAATGTTGCTATTAAATCCTAATGAATCTTGCAGTTTTCTACTTCCAAATCTAATTTAACATTTTCTTGTTTTCTTAATTTAATTTATATTTGAAAAATTTAGTTTATTTTATTAAATAATGTAATTATAATTTTTAAAGTAGGTATTTTTGAATTAATTATAACATATTTTTTTTTTTAATTCGCAAAAATTTTTTTCTTCTTTTGTACAGAATTTCTTTAAATGGTTTTAAATATAGCAGAGAATTTCTGAAGCATAAAATTTGCATTTCTATTTTTATAATACTTTGTACACGTACATTTAATTGTTCTTCTTATCTTATTTAGATTACACGGTGCATGCAAAGTGACTGTAGGTTTTTTTTTTTAACCATAATTAGTGCGCACTGGTATTTCTTATTTTTTTTTTTGTATATACATTCATACATATGAATTTATGTAAGTAATAAGATAAGAACATAATTTTGTAGAGTATTATGAATTTTTTTCTCCATTTGGAATATTCATTTAGAGAGATGACATTACTCAATTAAATATTTCTACATTCATATGCACAAATCTCCGAATCAATTTTTTAATATAAATAATTTGAATTGAAATTGGATTCAGAAATTTTTTAAAACAAATTAATTTTTCAATTTATAGAATGGTAAGTTCAATGTGATTATGAGATAAATCTTAATTGACTTACATAATAACAATATTTAAAAATATTATGTATTTGAAATTTAGTTGAAAGAAGAGAACAACAGTATTGAAATTTTCTCATCCATAAATTAATATACATATATAATTAAACAGAAATTATAAATGATAAAACATAATTAAATACCATAAAGAGTTTCTTTACAATATAATGATTTATTCTTCTTAAAAAAATTAAGATCTGTAATTAAGATACCATATAAGAAAACGCAGTCTGGAAGAAATTTTTCTCTGATTGTCTCATATAAATTTTGCGTAACATTTTGAGTTATAATAATCAAAAGCATATACATTTGTATATAAATAATAACAAAATGAAAACAATAAGATTTTGTAAATAAGTAAGTAATAATTAATTTTCAAATGCAAACAACACCTTGAATTGTTATAACTTTAGTTATTTAACAATATAATTAATAAAATATGTATAATATCTGTTTAGTAAAATTCATGATCAATCAACTTATTGAAAATGAATGTATGTATGTATTAATCCGCTATATATAAATTTCAGAGGCAAAATTTTTAATCCCACTTCAAAAAAATCGTATTTCAATATACTCAATTAAATTTATAATTTTTGCAAACTGAAGCTGTTTGAATATTAATGTTAAACCGAAACTTTTGTTTCGAAAAGATGTAAGATCGCTCACTCGATTCGAATTTTTGTTTTTGAAGTGATTAGTTATCAAAATCAAAATTTAAAGTAATCAAAACAAAATAATTTTACATCTAAGAACATTTGTAAAGCAGAAATCCTATAATGAGGTCTAAAAGTCTACTAAAATGCAAACAGGAACTGTATATGAGAACTTTTTGTAAACTGGCATATAACTTTCATATAGAGAACTCGTACTCCTATACAAGTATCCTACAGAGTCAGAGCAGCCAAGAGATAGAGTCTCTTCTCATTCAATTTAATTTCTTATATTCTTATAAAACCAGTATGATTTTGGAATACTCGTATTTATGTATTATAGTAGTGATACTTGTTTGGATTGCATTCACTGCTTGTTATATCATAAATTAATAGTAAACTTACTGCAATATTCATAAAAAAATTTTATTTAATTTTAAATTTCCGTAATTTTTCTTTTTTTTTGGAAAAATATATCTACAAACCAACATTTTACGAATTTTTTAATAAATCGTGTTATTAATTAGAGCTAGTATTCTTTATGCTGTACAAACGTAATTAAAAAATTAAAAATATTTGATATAGTTGAAAAGGTGTACCAGAGAAAATCAATTTATTGTAAGTTTAAAAAAATATTACAGCTATATGGTTGTTTGATCAAAAGTTATTTATGTAAATTATGGTTTATTGCAGAATGGATTTTTAAAATTTTATTTTTTTTGCTTTTCATAATACTTAGGCAGAATTAATTAATATACTTTAAATATAGTTGAACCTAAATAAAATGCAAATATATGTTAGTAAAAAGTGTGTATAAGAATAAGCGAATAATCTTTTTCTGTTTTCCATTTTTCATCAAGTTTTTCTCAAACTACAATTTTTTGCTTCAAAACGGTGAATCAGATTAATGTCGAATTCCAATAGTTTATAGAGGGCAATAAATTTTGCTAACACAAAAAATTTTTTTGTACCTCATCCACTTCTCGAGTTATTATTACTCAAAGTTTACAAAATTTCAATTTTCAGGTCCTTTATTTCATTGAACACTACATGGAACTTTGGTAAAAGCCAAAAATGTAGCAGTGATCGCACTCTTATCAAAAGCTATTATTATCCTTAAAAAATAACCATTTACCTTAACCTTAAATTAATTAGATACAATATTTTTGAAAATTATTATTTTAAATTAATCTTAAATGTATGCAATATTATATGATAATAAAAGAACTAAAACGAGTTCGCGATTTTGTGTTTTTAATCTAAAATTATGGTCACTGTTTCTTACCAAAAAAAAAAAGAATTAAATCTTTTTTGAGCCCTTCTTTTTAAGTTTTTTGAAGTTCTTACAAGTGTATCTAGATGTTTTAATTTATTGAGAAATAATATGTGACATATAATATAGATTTTAGTATCCGAATAACATTCTTCGTCGAAAGTATGAATAAGTTTCATGAAACTCTTAAAAATCGAACAAAAATTTCGAATTCACTTTATCAAAGCTCTTAATAATTTGTTGCTCAATTAGAATTTCATACATAGAATTAGAAATAAATAATTAACAGCTTGATCGTGTATTTCGTTTTTTTACTCGCTTTTTATTCACTTTCAAATCATAGAATTCTCAGTATTTTCTAATGGATTTTTCACTTTTTCAATAAGATTACTCATTTTTTTTTAATTAGAAGTTTGCATTTTTTCTCAAATTATCAACTGCACGTGTCACTTTCAAAAAAAAAAATGAATAAATTTTGTGTGCATAATTCTCACTGGAAAATTACATTTCACAAGTATTTCATAGTTATACTCACTATCTTCTCACTCTCCGAGTAAAATAGCGAGATAGAGGATCAGGCCCTAAAAGTCATATATTATATTTTGTTTCATCATTACGCTACATACGTTACATACTATAAATAAAAATTTTGTTCAAATTCTATTTGAATTGTAGAATTTGTTGAAATTTTTTTTGTAATAGAAAAATTGATTTTTAAATAATTTTATGTAAAAAAATTTAATTACATAAATAAATTTATGCAATTGCATGAAATAAAAATAGACAAAATTATTTGTTATATACGAAATTTATAAACAATTTTACGCTGATTTGAAACGGTAATTGGTAATTAATATTGCTTGATTTAACAAAAAAAAAAGGCAAAGGTAAGTAATTGTAATTAAAATACCTTTTACTTTTCGCACACATAGCATAATATACATATATATACTTATGAATGCATATAGCCATTTAACATAATCATACAAATTTTATTATTTAAATTATAAAAAATAAAAAAATACCTTCTGTGTTTTGTTCAATTTTTTGTTTTACTAACTTTTATTTTTAATTGCAATTCTAACATTTTCATATTTGTTCGTAAATATACTCATATATCTAACATGTATAAATATTATACATATGTATGTATACTTAATTAATTTAAACTATACCTATAAGGGAGATCGTAATTACGTGTAAAGAAAAAATTAAACATTAAAAATTAAATCGTGCACATTTTTATTAATAAACAAAAAACATTTGTTATACGCTATACAAACACTATATATATGTATATACCGACATACTATATACATACAATAGATTACCATTAATTTGAATATAATTTTTATTGTCATAATTATTTATTCATATTCCAAAAAGAATATATAGCGCAATAATAGTATAATCGTGTTATATACAATAGTAACGCAACACACATAAGCATATTGTGTGCATATACGAGTATGTGGGTATATGCTTACATATTACATAATAGAGAGGCAATAATTTATTCAAAATTTTCAACATGTGTTTTTTTATTTTATTTAACCAATTTTTATTGTTTTACTATATTATAGCCTTTATATTTATGTAAGGTGTAATATGTAATATGTGTAAATGTAAAGGTAGACCCGTAACTTCTATAATCGGACTTATATGTATATACAATAGTGACGTACACATACGAATGATTTTGGATGTTAAAATTTTTAAAAGAAAGTAAAATTTTGTTTACTATTTTTTTTTTTTATTTAAATTTACTTTTTCTTTTCTTATATCGCTTTTTTAAGATAGAATTTGTTAACTTGTATATAGAAGGTGTTTTTAATTTGTTTTCGGGTTTTCTTCCTAATAAATCTTAAATTTATTTTCATTTTCAAATATATATTGTGTTGGTTGAATCTATTAATTTTGTCAAATCATCAATATACAGGGTGTTGCTATAGTGGTGCATTGTGTAAATCACCGTTAGTAGTAAAAAAAATTGTTCCACAATAACTTTCTGTTGCAACTGATTTTGGAGGTAGGGGCTCTTAAAGAAAATTTTTGTTTTTTGGCGGACTTTGCTGGAAATAAGCTGCAACTTTGATTGTATTTGTTATACAGATACATACTTTTGGACTTGTACTTGAAAGGTTGTATGATAACCTATTTAACTAGCGCACAACGAATTACGTAGCAGTTTTAGTTCAGATACCATACAGTTATATAATAACAGTATTTTTTTCAGTGACATAAATATGACCAAGCTGTCCAAAACTTTCCAATATTCAGAAAATCTGATTTGCTCTCTTTATCTTTGTAACACATATTACAATTTTTGGCTGAGCTATTACGGTTTACTAAATAAATGAGAATGAATCTTTAAAAAATAATCGGAATTTTTTCAACAACAAAAATTTTGGAAGCCAATGTGCTTTTTTGTTATTGTTTTTATAATTTAGGCTCTTAATTATAAATAGGATCAAGTGGACCATTGAACCTCATCGACACCTTGTGTATTAAATTTTTTTTAATTTTATTAATCAATCAATCAATCAATCAATCAAATAGACAAACATATACATATACATAGATGAATGAAGACGAACTTTGAACAACTATGAAACTTTTTTATATATATGTGTATGTATGTACATAAGTATGTATTATTGAAATTAACATTTTTTTTTAAAATTAAATAAGAAATATTTTTAAAATTAACAAGTTTTATGTTAAAAAATGTAAAAAAAAAACCTGATATTTATGGGTTACCATAAAGCAACATTATTAAACTGTATAAATATGTATAGGTATATATAATAAATAATTATGTATATTATGTACATAATTATGAACAGTACAGTAATAATGTTCTATTAGATAATAATTTATATGAAAATATTATTAATAAAAAAAAATATAATACTCTTAAACAAGTGAGGAAATCAAATTTTCTATCTCTCTATATGAGGTAAAAATTACGTCAATTTCTTTTAATTTCCGGATAACATTTCAATCATCTCTATATATATATACATTCATATCTGATGCATTTATTGATATACATACATATACACATACTTATACATATTAAATAATTTAAATTTTTTCATATGATGTGATTAAAATAATAATATTATTTTTATTCATTTAATAAGTATGTCACATATCTACTACTTTTTGTGATGTCAGGGATGCATTTGATGTTGTCTTTTTTAGATCAACTACAAGTGTATATGTAAAATATTATTATTCTTTTAATTTCAGAGTCCGCTCACATTTCAGGCAAGGAATAACTTTTTTAAACCCTTATTCTATATTAAAAAGGGCAATCCTTAAACTCCTTTATTGGTTACCTATAAACACACATTTAAGTGTTTTTTATGTTTCCTATTCCTTGATATCTAAAACCAGTGAAATTTCATTAATTTTTGTTTTTGCTTAAACTTATCACGGGCGCACAAAAATAAATAGACAAAAGATTAATACAAAATTTTTTATACGTTAATTGTTGGAGCAATATATTCAATTTTATCTCTTTGCTCTTGTTTGTTAATATTATAAATACATATTATAATTTGTTATATAATTATCAATATATGTATACGTATATATTTTATTAGCTCCTTGCAAACTATCTAATTGCTATGAATAACAAGTATTCCTCCTATATATGAATAATATTAATGATTTTCATTTGATTTGAAATTGATTTTTTAGTGAAAAATATCGTAATGTAGAACATGTTGGAGAATCAATTTACTAAATCTATATATTATTAATTCTTGGTAAAAAAAAATAATATATAATTTATTTGCCAATATAATAATTTTCTAAAACGAGATTACATTTTTTCATTTTAGTATCTCGCAATTTATAATATTAAGACTATTTTTCATAATTTAATCTTACGAATTGAATTGAAATTATTATGAAGTTAAAATGTATTACAAATATGTATATACATATATATATTGAGTTTTATATAATAATTAAATAACTGGAAATTATTTATCTTAACATATATTTGTACATATAGGTATTTAAAATAATAAATAATATGTAATTGAAAATTATATTGTGTGTAGCCTAGTTTACATTTTGAATACTTGCCAATTTATTTATAGAAATGGTACTAGAATAACTATGTATATTCTTTTATGCTGCTTTTGAATTGTTAAAATTGTTATTTTAAATAAATAATTTTTATTTACATATTATGTATGTAGGTAAAATTTCTTAACAAATCGATTTTTCTTATATTTCTTATTTATAAATTTAAATAAAATATTTGCAAAAAAAAAAGCAAAGAAATAATATTTTTTAATATGGAAATACGCCCGCCCTCTCATTCTGACATTGATTTAAATATTTTTCTTGTCTTATTGAATTTAAGCAAATAAAAGAATATTATAAATTCAATATGAAGGTGGGTTGATGGGAAGGTAAACGAAAATCAAATTGAACTCTATGTATATGTAAGTATGTATGCAAAAATATATGTAACAATTTTTTATCTATTTTGTCTCCATAAAACCAGCAAAAAAAAAAGAATTAAAACATGAATAATTTCTTTTTTTTTTTTTGAAATAAAGAATGAGTTCTACTTTTCAAAATAATTATATAGATTGCATTAATATTTATTATACGTATGTATGTACATATACATAAATTTTTATCAATTACTATGTACAATTACTATTTTTCTAGCACATGAAACAGTTTTGCAATTTATAAGCATAGATTCCTGTTTTGTTAGAAAAAATATAGGACAGCAAGTTTTTATTATTATTTTTTTTTGTTTTTTAAATTTTTAAATACAATATAATATATATATAGAGAATTGATACTTTAACACGTTCACATTTATATATATATATATATAATAGTAGGTATTCAAGTTTGCTTTGATTACTTATATTTTTTTTTTCTAAATAAATTTTTTCATTGATAAAACTTGATTATATGTGGTAATAGTTTTGTACATATACATACATATATAGTTCAAAAATTACCTATATAAATTTATAATAAACGTTCTTCTATATAGATTTTTACATACATAAATATATATAATTTAAAATGCATATACATTGACACATCTAACATTAATATATGCCACAATATCTAATATGCAAGTAAATTTACTATCATTGCTATACAATTTATAAACAAAAATTTACTACCATATAAGTATTTGAATGTAGTTTATAGGAATGCTTTGAAAATATAATAATAAAGCTACTCTTATAATGTTTGATTATTGTACAATAAGATATTTGTACAAATTCAATAGTTTTGATTTATTTAAAAATATTTATATATATATATATATATAAATTATATTTTTCTAAAGAATTTTATTAATTACTCATATATCTCACCTTTTCTATTGAAAAATAAAAAATTAAACATATTAAAATTGAATATTGCGTCATGACTCATATAAAAAAATATTTTTCAAGTTTTATTATTTTTTATTATTTTTTCCCCCTTTTCTTATGCTAATGATTGTTGCGTTGAAATCTTTTGTTTGTTTTTACAAAAATTTAACTTCGTATTTTGATTTTAAACTAAAATTTAATTTTTAATTCACTTTTATTGAAAAACAAAGAAACACAGATAAAATAAAAATTAATGAATTTTATTAGTTTTTAAAATTTTATAATAGCTAAAAATATTGAATATATTTTTTTAATTTTTTTTATTTCTTAACAAAAAAAACTTTTATAGAGGCGCTCACATCGTTTAATTAGAATTCGTTCAAAGTTAAAATGAAACTGAAGAAAAAAAAATACAGGTAAAAATTAAGATTTCAATTTTAGCTCAAACTAGATCGTGATTTTAAAATACAAATTAAAGCTGTGTAGTGTACTAATGTTATGAATGTATTTGTGATATGATGTTAAATAGTTACATATTCAAGTATCATGGCAGTATTATACTGATCTTTCTATATGAAAATAATTAAAGTACTCAAAATTTTCACTCATTTGAAATAAACTAAAGATAATGACGCACGATGTGTATATGGATATCTACATATATATGATTTATAAATTATCATTATTTTTTAGAACTATTTATTATTTATAATTAATATACAAAGAACTTTAAATTATTTTTAATTGGATTGTTTTCATAAACAAATTTGAAATAAAGACGACATTTATAGCGAAATTTTATAAAACAATATTGCAAAATTATCCATTATTTTTCATTATTAACTTTGAAAATAAATATTCTATTAAAATATTTTGTCAATTATAAATTTTAGTTCAATAAAATTCATAAAATTTATTTTAAAATTCTGTTTACATTAAATTAAAAACATTTTTTTGAAATGAATTCAAATTTTTTCTTCATTTTGATGTACATATATTTTTGGAAATTACAGATTCAGAAATTTATCAATTCATTTTGCAAAATTTTATGAAGTTCATAATTTGAGTTTGAGTTTTGGAAGAGGTTCTCATGCATATTCATAAAATGTCAAAATGACACTAAACTTTTATTAATTTGACATTCAAGTATGATTTGACGTTGCAGTAATCATTATTCATTGCATTGCGCTGTACTCGCATTCACGTTGAATTTTTTTTTTGTGAAGAATGGAAAATCAAGTGGTTAGTTGTTAATTTTTCACAAAAAATTATTAAAATAATTAATTGTTTTTTTCTTAGATTGCTAGTGCTTTGAAAGATTTACCAAATCGGGTATTAAATTCAAATCCCGAGGAGAGGAGTACAATTTTCAAAAATGTTTCCGGAGTTTTAGAAAATCCAGGTTATATTTTTAATGTTGTGTTATATTAAATTAATTTTAAGTCTTATAAAATTTTATTATTAGACATGAATACTACAATTGTAAATGGTATCTGCAAAGTGATTGGGACAACACTATTAAAATATAAAGACCCTGATTCACAACGGTATGTCACTAATTTAATAACAGAATTAATGAGAGTTCATCCAACATGGACAGTTAATCATTTTACAAAAGTTTTAAATACTTTAATAAATAAAGAATTAAAAAATACACCAAAAGGATTGAAACCAAGCGTAATTGCATTAGGTTGGACGGTAATATTATTAAAGAACGCAAAAAGTGATATAGAAAAATGCGATTTATATAAAATAATTGAAGTTCAGTCAATTTTATATGAAATAATACTAATGGGAAATATGACAATAGCAGTAGACAAAGCAGAACAGTTGCTTTTTGATTGTTGGACAAATCAGGATATTCTTCATTCACAAATGAATTTGCTTTTAGAAAAAGAAGCAAGTAGTAACATAGCTCTGTTTATCATGCTAACAATTAAATGTGAAAAACTTAAATTTGACAGCATTAGCTTATTGAACAACAATCGTAATAAGGTATTGGATTATTTTTTAAAAGGATTTATATCATCAAAGAAAAAAACTCCACAAAAATTTATGAAAGTTTGTAAATCGTTTTTAAACAATTTAAATGAATCGGAGTTTAAGGATTCAATTTTGCCAGCTATACAGAGATCGATGTTAAGAAATCCGGAATTGATTTTAGAAAATATTTCTACAATAATATCCGAAATTCAATTCGATATTAGTGATTATTGCTCAAGTTTAGCAAAGGCTCTTGTACCGTATTTATATTCAAAAGAGGAAAGTGCAAGAAAAGATTCACTTGAAGCTTTGAGTAGTATTACAGTAAAATGTTCTAAGATTGAAACTATTCTAGATATATTAAAATGTTGTTTCGAGGCCTTGAACAGATCATCCGACAAAATTACGGTGGCTGAATATCGCATTAACATTTTTAAAGTAAGTTTTTCGTTTTCCAAAGAAAAGTTTTAAATGAGATTTTTTATTCTAGGCTATCGGAAATCTTAGCATAAATGCAGCACCGGTATTAGAAATTGTGAAAATTATTCCAGAAGTAACTGAATTATTTGAAAAAGCTTTAGAAACAGAAATTCAAGAAAAAGTTGCTATTTTAGCATTAGAAATGTTCAGCTTATGGGCACTTCTCTTTGAAGGTGAACTTCCCGATCAGATTATGAAGATTTTCAAAAAGGGAATGGAGTCAAAAAATTCAACTCAATCTATTAGAATTGCATATCTTCAGTGGCTAATTGCTTGTTTGGAAAATGGTCGTTTAAAAAAGGACACGGATGTAACGCCTCTATTAATAACATATATTGAGAAAGCAACACAACCTAATGCTCAAATAGCGAATTTATATGAAGGTGTTTGCTGCTCATGTATAATACTGCGTATTAAAATTGATTTAAATGAGTCAAGTCATAATTTATTCTGGAATTTGATGTTAGATACAGACAAAAATATTTTTTTATCTGAAAAATTCATCACTACAGCGCCTGCTGAAGCCTTGTGTAATATCACATTAATGGCTGAAATACTATTAACTCATCATTATGAAAAAATTAAAGGAAGTTTAGAGCCTCTATTCAAAGCTATAATGCATGGTATAGTTTCTTCTCTGAAAAAAGTTAGAACTTATTGCTTAAAATCACTTTCGAACATAAAAAAAAATACTAATAATTTCAAAGTTGATTTTTCCAAAGAAATATTAAAGTTGTTGACATCATATATTCAATCAATTAAAGTACATTCCGAGAACGAAAACATTGAAGAGAATGGATTACAAAGTGAAGTATTTGCAGAAGCTATAAAAGCATTGTGTACATTTGAAGAAATCTCTATAACAGACGCATATACTATTGGATTGCAGGCAATTCTTTGCGCACATCATCCAAGTGTTGTAAAAACTAATATTAACTTCTGGGAAACAATAGTTCAAAATTTTGAAGTGGAACCAAAGCATTTTATAGCAGTCAACTATAAATATATTCAAACAATTTTAATAGATGAATTTAAACCAGAAGATATGTATTGTAACGCTATTGAAACTATTTGCCGGGTTTGCCCACAATTAACATTACATAAAATAGTTGATAAGGTAGTAACCGACTTCAGTGATTTCAATTTAATAAAAGTTACACAAGATGAATACCTTACATTTTTGATGCCTGAAGGCGAGCTTTATGATAAATCTGTTATTCCTAATAGTACCGACATTTATAGTCATGTAGGATTAAAAAGAGAAAATAAAGTTTACAGTTACAAAGAGCAATTGGAAGAACTTCAATTGAGGAAAGAGTTAGATGAAAAACGCAAAAAGGAAGGAAAAATAAAACCAGTGAAATTAACACCTAAACAAATAGAAGCAATTAAAACTCAAACTGAAAAGGAAAGTCAGATCAGACAAAGATTGAAACTATTAAACGAAAAGCTTCATAATTCCATAGCATTATTAAGATCTGCGTGCAAAGGTTCAAAATTTATCTCAGCATATTTCTCCAAAATACTTACTACAGTTTTAAAGCTTATGTCTTCTCCTTTAGCAGCTGAACCATGTAAAAATTTATTTTATGAATTGCGAAAGTTTTGCTTTTCTAATGACTTGGAGGATTTGGGAACAGATATCAGTATTGCTATTATAAGACTATGCAATCCGTTCTGTAATTTAGATGATGAATGGCTAAAAATGGACTTAAATGATTATGTATCTAGTGTTTTAGTAAAATTAAACTCCTATTTTCAAAGTCTTGATGATGAAAATAGTTTAACAGACTGTCATTTTACTGCGCCTTGCTTTTGCTATACTTTTGAACTATTAAAAAGAGCTTTAATTTCTCCTATGATAACGAAAAGCGATGAATTATTGATTGCAGGCATTAAATTTATTGAAGTCCATGCTCAAGTTAAAGGTGAAACCTTAACAGGTGAAATAACAGATTTAAAACATCCGAATTTTATGCCTCGATTTGAAATGTTTAACTTACTACTCGAATTGATAAGTAAATATCGAGGTAGAATACAAACTCAAGCAGTATCAGCTTTGCTTGAAGTAGCAAACATTAGTTCTGGACATGAATATTGTTCGAAAGCGTCCGTAAAAGAATTTGAATTATTTTTGCGAGCTTTGCAACAAAGTTCTCAAGCAGTTCGTGACGTTTCGCTTAGAGCTTTAATAATAATGTCAGACAACTTAAAAACAATTGAATTAAACGATGAGTTTAAACTAGAATTGATACGTCGTTTCTGGATTGCAAAGCACGATATATCTGAGGATAACAAAATTTTAGCGGATGAATTGTGGGAGAAGACCGGATTTAATGTTCCTTTAGACATTTATAAAGAATTTATTTTTGATGTTTTACATCCTGAATTATGTATTCAGAAAGCTGCGGCATCTGCCTATGTTTCTTTGTTAAAAGAGGATCCATCCTTAACAAAGTTAATTTTAAATCAGTTACTTGAAAATTATCATGAAAAGCTGGAGTTTTTGCCAGCGATTTTGGACCAATTTGATAGAGAAATCGAACCAGCAAAAGGTAATTTTGCTTTAAACGGCTTTGAAATATCTTTTTTTTATTTTAGTTTACTAAGTTATATATTCTGAATATTCTTTTTTAGATCAATGGGAAGCTAGACGGGGAATTGCATTATCAATTTCTCAAATAGCACAATTTTTAACCTTAGAAGATGTTGATTGCACCATGAATTTCATGGTTTCGTATGGGTTAAGTGATCGCGAAGATATTGTGCACAAACAAATGCTAGCTGCTGCCCTGTGCATCGTTGATTTCCATGGGAAAGAAACAATAAATAAGCTGTTACCCGTCTTCGAAAAACTATTGGATCAAGCTCCAAATTCATCAGATTATGACAATGTAAGACAAGCGGTTGTAATATTAATGGGATCTTTAGCGAGACATTTAGAAAAGGATGATGAAAGAATTCAACCAATTGTTAAACGACTTCTTGCTGCTTTGTCAACCCCTTCAGAGCAAGTCCAAGAGTCGGTTTCAAATTGTTTACCCCATTTAATGTATTCCATTAAAGATGAAGCTCCTGCAATTATCAAGAAATTATTGCAGCAGTTAGTTAAATCTGACAAGTTTGCAGAAAGACGAGGTGCTGCATATGGTTTAGCTGGCATGGTTAAAGGTTTAGGAATTTTGTCCTTAAAACAATATGACATAATGCCAAAATTAACAACATATATACAGGAAAAAAAGCACTATAAATACCGAGAAGGAGCTTTATTTGCATTTGAAATGTTATGTATTACATTAGGCCGACTTTTTGAACCATACATTGTACACGTAATACCATATCTTCTTCAGTGCTTTGGCGATTCTTCGCAGTACGTTCGTGAAGCTGCAGATGAGACAGCAAAAGTAGTTATGGGTAAACTATCAGCGCATGGTGTAAAATTGATTTTACCGTCATTGTTAAAAGCCCTTGATGAAGATTCTTGGAGAACAAAGACTGCATCCGTAGAATTATTAGGTGCTATGGCTTATTGCGCCCCGAAGCAACTATCATCATGTTTACCAAGCATTGTACCGAAACTTATAGAAGTTTTAGGGGATTCACATACGAAGGTGCAGGAGGCAGGTGCTGATGCCTTGAAAGTAATTGGATCGGTTATTAAAAATCCAGAGATCCAAGCTATTGTACCAGTATTGCTTAAAGCCTTAGAAGATCCATCCAAAAATACTTCAGTTTGTTTATGTAATTTGTTGCAAACAAAATTTGTTCACTTTATTGATGCTCCATCTCTAGCTCTAATAATGCCAGTTGTGCAAAGAGCATTTTTGGATCGTTCTACAGAAACTAGAAAAATGGCTTCACAGATTATTGGTAATATGTATTCTTTAACCGATCAGAAAGACTTGGCTCCTTATTTGCCAAGCATAATTCCTGGATTAAAAGCATCATTATTAGATCCCGTACCAGAGGTTCGAGCTGTTTCTGCTCGCGCTTTAGGTGCTATGGTCCGCGGAATGGGAGAATCCTCGTTTGACGATTTGTTGCCATGGTTAATGCAAACTTTAACTTCCGAAACCAGTAGTGTTGATCGAAGTGGGGCTGCTCAAGGTTTATCAGAAGTTGTTGCGGGATTAGGAGTAGAAAAAATGCATAAGTTGATGCCTGAAATTATTTCAACCGCTGAAAGATCTGATATTGCGCCCCATGTTAAGGATGGGTATATAATGATGTTTATTTATATGCCAGGAGCTTTTCAAGATGAGTTTACCCCTTACATTGGTCAGATAATCAATCCGATTTTGAAGGCTTTAGCTGATGAGAATGAGTACGTTCGAGAAACAGCTTTGAAAGCGGGTCAGAGAATAGTTAACATGTACGCTGAAACTGCTGTTACTTTACTTTTACCAGAGCTGGAAAAAGGGCTTTTTGATGAAAATTGGAGAATTCGATATAGTTCCGTTCAGCTCTTAGGAGATTTATTATATCGCATTTCTGGTGTTTCTGGAAAAATGACAACGGAAACTGCTAGTGAAGATGATAATTTTGGAACAGAGCAATCTCACTCGGCTATTATACACTTCTTAGGACCAGAACGAAGAAATAGAGTGCTAGCTGGTTTATACATGGGAAGAAGTGACGTATCTTTACTTGTGAGGTAATCGAGGTTGTATTTTATTAAACATTTTTAATAATGCATTTTTTTAATATGTATTATTAGACAGAGCAGTTTGCATATATGGAAGCTTGTTGTCACCAATACTCCGAGAACTTTAAGAGAAATTCTACCCACGTTGTTTAATTTGCTCTTAGGTTGTTTGGCCAGTACAAGTTATGATAAACGTCAAGTTGGTAAGTAAAAATATGAAATATGCTTAAGAAACAAAATTTTTACAATTGATTTTCTTTTCAACCTCCCAGCTGCTCGAACCTTAGGGGATTTAGTTCGCAAATTAGGTGAACGGGTTTTACCGGAAATAATTCCAATTTTGGAACGTGGACTAAATTCAGATCAATCTGATCAGAGACAAGGTGTATGTATTGGTTTGTCGGAAATAATGACTTCTACATCAAAAGAAATGGTTTTGACATTCGTCGATAGCTTAGTCCCCACAGTAAGAAAAGCACTCTCGGATCCGTTACCTGAAGTGAGAAGTGCTGCGGCTAAAACTTTTGATTCATTACATGCAACCGTCGGATCAAAAGCACTTGATGATATATTACCTTTTATGTTGGAAAATCTTTCAAATCCCGATCCTATGATTGCAAGCAACACTTTAGATGGATTGCGACAAGTTATGTCTATTAAATCTAAAGTTGTTCTTCCATATTTAGTTCCGCAATTGACCGCACCCCCTGTAAACATCAAAGCGCTTTCTATTTTGGTTTCTGTAGCTGGAGATGCTGTTACCAAATATTTACCAAAAATTTTGCCAGCTTTGTTAGATGCATTGGCTAACGCTCAAGGAACTTCAGAAGAAAGTACGCAGTTGGAGTACTGTCAAACTGTTATATTATCAGTAAATGATGAGGCGGGAGTTCGAATTATTGTTGACACTTTAATTAATTTTACTAAATATGAGAAATTTGAAACGAAAAAATCGGCCGCAACTCTCCTTTCCGTATTTTGCATTTACACCCAAAGTGATTATTCCCAATATGTATCTCAACTGCTAAGGACATTATTAAGACTTCTAGCTGATTCTGATCGCGACATTTTGCAAAAAGCTTGGGAGGCGTTAAATGCTGTTATAAAGAACTTAGAGCCAGCAGAACAAATTACTCATGTTATGGATGTGCGTCAAGCAGTACGATTTGCAGCAAGTGAATTAAATGGAGCTGAACTGCCCGGATTTTGTCTGCCTAAAGGTATTACTCCATTACTTCCAGTGTTCAGAGAAGCTATTCTCAACGGGTTACCAGAAGAAAAAGAGAGCGCGGCTCAAGGCTTAGGCGAAATTATTTCACTGACTAGTCCACAATCTCTTCAGCCTTCTGTAGTGCATATCACAGGCCCACTTATAAGAATTTTGGTAAGCGATTTATATTATACTATTTAACTGAAATTATTCATTTTTATTATAGGGTGATAGATTTAACTCTGATGTTAAAGCAGCAGTCTTAGAAACATTAGCTATTTTGTTGAGAAAAGTTGGCATTATGCTAAAACAATTTCTCCCTCAGTTACAAACAACTTTTTTAAAAGCGTTGCATGACAACAGCAGATCTGTAAGACTAAAAGCGGGACAAGCTCTTGCTGAACTAATTAATATTCATCTAAGGCCGGATCCTTTGTTTATCGAAATACATAATGGAATCAAAAACTACGACGATCCAGCTGTTCGAGACACAATGTTACAAGCACTGCGTGGTGTTATAACGTTTGGAGGAGACAAAATGTCAGAAACATTAAGGAAACAAATTCACGCAACCCTAATATCGATGTTAAATCACAATGAAGAAACTACAAGAAATGCAATTGGAGGATGCTTAGGTGCTTTGTGCAAGTATCTGCCCCCTGACGATGTAGATGAAACATTGAAAAATCATATATTATCTGAGTCTGATGATTTTGCCCTGAAGCATGGTAGGACGATAGCATTGTATGTTGCGCTAAAAGAGAGTCCCGATGCTATTTATATTTCCGCATTCCAGCATAAAATAACACAAGTTATAGCAAGTTGTATAACTTCCGACAGAGTACCAATTTCAAGTAATGGTGTTCGTTCTTTTGCCTATTTGACAAGGCATTGTTTAAGTAAAAATGAACAAATTCCGCAAAGTATTTTAACAACTTTTGTACGAGCAATGAACCATGAAAGTAATGAAATCAAACAATTGGTAGCTAAAACTTGTAGTTTCTTAGCAAAATCAACAGAAAGCATCCCACTTGATATTCTTAAAGTGATTATCCCAATGCTTGTAAATGGTACTAAAGAAAAAAATGTTTACGTTAAATGTAATTCAGAAATTGCTTTAGTTGCTATACTAAGATTAAGATCAGGGGATGAATTATTTCAAAATTGTTTACAAATTATGGATGCTGGTGCTCGCGAGTCACTGAATGAAGTTGTCGTAAAAGTTTTGCGAAAAGTAATGACACAACCAACTGGCAAAGAGGAAGAGTACGACACAACACTTATCGCGTAAATTTTAACTAAATTTCAATTGTATGTTTTTCTAAATTAAATAATAAAACTAGTTATCCAAGTGTATTTTCTAATTTTTTTTTAATATATAACGTACAAGTACGTACATATTTCAATAAATAAAAAAGCAAGCCTAATAAAAAAAATTCAAGAGATCTTAAATTTTATCATCAGTCATGCAATCCTCACTTTTAATGCTAAATCCTTCCAGCACATCAGACATTTGATCTATCCTACGCTCAGTTTTGGCGACCATTTTCTTTTTCTTTTTTTGAAGTCTTTTAATTTCTTTGTTTATTGACTTGTTTCCTAAAAAAAGAAAAATTAAAAAAAAATTAAAATGTATTAGTAGAACAGATTGTTAATCAAATAACGTAATAACGTACCTTGTAGAAGAGCTTCAGGATCAATTTTTAAATTTTTAGTTGCTTTAACTTTATTATTAGTTGCTGCATTATTAGCAATATTGTAGATACTCTCTTCAGGAACTTTAAAGGTAGTTTCCACTTCCACCGGCTTTTCTTCAAATGATTTCAAAATTTGTTCTATGTCATCATCAAAGCAATCCATGTTCACATCAACCGTTTCGTTATTCGTTATAATTTTTGACGATACATGACAAGATGATTCTTCTGGTGGTTCGGTATTGTAGCGAATCTTTCCGGAATTCCAATCATTGAGTAATCCTCTAGCGGCTGCTTCTATATCTGGCGATCCATTAGAAAATTTTCCTAAAGTTGAGAGCATCAAAAATAATTTAGTATAAAAAACCTAATTAATAAAATATTAAGGTTTACCCATTTTTAAAGCTTTTCTAGATAGAAATTCTTCAAAAGAATTATAGTCAGAAATGCCATATAAGTTACAAAAGTACTGTTTGGTTGCTCTTTTCAAAATATTCTCTGCAAATCGTACAGGGTCTTTAATATCACTAACATTTTGACCATTTTGATAAACACTACATAAAGATTGAGCACTTGGAAATATTATTCCGGGTGAGTCGATTAACATTACCTTTTTGTCAATTTGGATTTTTTGAAGGGATCTAAAATACAAAAATAGCATTATAATTTTTAGTAGCCTAAATTAACAGTTTTACCTAGTGACACCTGGCTTACAACCGACAGCACAACGTCTACCTCTCGCTAATGAATTTATGATAGAACTTTTACCAACATTAGGTATTCCAACTACCCCAACTGTAATTTTAACTCCAGCACCTTTATGTCTAAAATATTTTCCTAACATTGACATTAAAAGATCGGTACCGAAACTTACGGAATTTTGTAAACATTTTTCATCTTTAACTGATTTAAAACTTTTTGATCCATAATTCAGAGCCTGCTTTTGAGTTGATGATTTAAAGGGTATAGCTGGATGAATTGTCTTGAAATATTTAAGCCATTTTCTTAAATTTTCTATTGGAACTAAATCAGCTTTATTTAACACAACAATAATTGGCTTTTGTTCGGGACTCTCATTAATAATTTTTTCAATTTCATTACAGCGAGTTCCTAATGGATCTCTAAAATGAAATTTTCTGTAATTTATTGCAAATTTATTTAGCAATTTTTTACCTTGCATCTAAAATTTCAAGCAAAATATCTGCTTGAGATACAACTTTTCTAAATTCCTTGTTAAACACTTTGCATGTGTTATCTTTGATCGCCTAATTAATGAAATAAATTTAAAAAGGATATTATAATATGTGCATATTATGTGTACATATAGAATCTTCAAACCTGTTTTATTTCATCAAAATGACTTGTTTTTTGATCTTCAATGTCCATTTGATTTTCAGACTTAATTTGATCAGAAACTCTTTTTTTAAGATTTTTGGCTTGTTCATTTTTTTGTTTAAACTCAGCTTTCTTTACGGAAAATTTTTCAATATTATTTCGTCTTTTATTTTGATATTTGTTATTGTTTTTCTTCTTTCCCATGACTGAATCTCTTAAAACTGAACTTAGTTTTTTTGGCTTTCTGATTTTCTATTTGTTTATATTTAATTTCAACGTGCTTTTTGACATTTATATAATAGAGTTATCAAAGTCAATTTATTTGACTGAGAATAGTTGTCAATAAACATCCCATAAAACTTATCTCTTTAAATTGATTTTGCGATATCTAGCGGCAGAAATAAGAAATCTCGGACGAATTGAATTAAAGAGAATAAAAATTTACATAAATTTATTTTCAATAAATCTATAAAACCTAAATTGTAAGTTAGCCGTATAAATTGTTTATAAGATCTCAAAATATTAATAAGATTTTTATGTACATCAAATCGGTGAAGAAATGTTTAATTGGAATGGGGATTTTTCGGAAAATCTAGTCGCGCATCACAGCATTTTGTTCTTTTGCTTTGGCCATACTTGATATTGTTAATCCTTTCTATTTAAATCAATATTTTTTATTTACAAGTATGGTTTTACTTTGAAAATTTTGATATTTTCAAATTCATTTTGAATATTTTTTATTTTATTACTGTCGGTGATATAAGAACATCGTATACGTAAATTTTTTTACTAAAATAAAATTCTTGTATGCAAAGTAGCTTGAGTACAGTGTAAACACAATCAAAAATGGTTGGTAGTAGTATAATAGAATTTTGTCTTCATACCTCGAATTAATTATAATGGAAACTTTACATTCTTTCTTTAGTTTCCTTGCAAATATTTAACATGCTTCCTTTAAAATTTTTTCATGTATTACGATTCGATATTCAAGACTATGAGTAATTTTTAAATTTTGCCATTAATTTTTTTGAAATAAATATTTTTTATGTACACTTTATTATATCCGTAATGCTAGAAAATGTTTTTTAAAAATATTAAACTTCTATATATTTTGGTCACGTTTTAACGTTATGACATGTTACATTTTTTTAACGTAACATCTGTTAATATATATAAAATTGTGTAAAGGTAAATGATAGAAAAGACAAAAAAAAAAATAATAATAATTTTTTTTAAACATTACCGTGTATATTATATTCTATGCTATTACAAAATACCTATGAAAGGTGGCAAACATATGTGTTGCATTAAAACAGTTTTTCTTTCTATATTTTAGAACTAAAAGGACTCTCTAGCCTTAATAAAAAAAAATTCCAAACGTAATATTCAAAAGTTTAACTTTTTTTTTCTAAAAATTTACAATATACAAAGGAATGATAATTTTTTACTTGTGTGATTTGAATAGGAAAAAAAATCGGTATAAAATGTAAATGCTGGAAAATTTCATACGTGTGTTTCGTGCAAAATATCAAAAATTTCAATTGAATTTGAAAAATTATTTATATATAAGATTAGGTCAAGAATTAAATATTAACAAATTGATTGAATTTATTTGTTAATTGATTTCTATAATAATGTTAATTTTTAGGCTATATACTTTTACTTTACCGTAAGTTTGTTATAAATGTTTTATAATCCCATTATGTAATGTATGTATATTAAGGCCAACCTGTTTAAATATGTATTAAAATTCACATGTATACCCTTAGATAGAAGATCCAAATTTTACATACAAATAACAAAAATATCTGTAAAATTCATAATTATTACATTATAATTAGGTTTTCAGAGCTTCTTTGAATTTTTTGTCTCCTAACAGTATGCAATATCAGTAATTATAGTGTTCAGCTTTTCTTTTACTCTTACTTAAATCATATCAAATCATATGTGCATACCGACCTACATATTTCATTGAAATAATTTAAAAAAAAAAAACATTTTTTATTAATAAAAAGAGGCAAGCAACAAATTTCATAAAATAAAATACATAATATATTTAATTTAAGTGCCATTTAAATCAATTTTGAATTGAAAAATAAAAATCAAATATTTATTTATTCCTTTCGAATTAAATTTTATTCCTTTATTTAAAGTTACGTTATATATGTAACATCATTATATATGTACATACATACATTGCTATAGATATAGCATACATTCATAAATTTACGTATCTTATCAATATAAAATTATTTGTATTGTGTAGTGTTTTATTGCGTGTACAATATTACAAATTTATGGAAGGCTGTCGTAGCGAATATAGGTGATTTCAAATAATGGTTTCATACTTTGTGACGTCATATTTTTGAAGATAACACAGGATTTTTGTTCTAACGTTTAGAAGAAAATTGTGGACAAAATGTCCTTGATGAATCATAAAGACCGTGATATTATATATAGGATTATAAGGACTTTTATATTTTATATTAGGGGTCTCATACCATAATATTTATTTCCACATACTTTAAAGTTTAAGATTATACTTGTTACCTAACACTTAAATGGATTAATAAAGTAAATCCAGATATATACATAGTTTTGTAAGTTTATACGATATTAGTTTTGTATTATAGAATACATATTTATAATATACGAAAATGAGTGATCAAACATTATTGGAGATATAATACTTATATACTACTAATAATACTACTATAATACTTGTATATAATACTAAAAACGGTATTATGTTATGTCGTGAACATATTTTGAACACTTCATTTAAAAATTTTTACCGATGCGTGGCTTAACCGATTTTTTCATAATTTTTTTTTTAATTTTCCCTGAAACTCAACAAACCTTGCAGAGCTCCTTAAGGCCTTCAAAATGGTACTGCGTATCTACCGTAAAACAAGACCTTGTGGATAGAACTGCTTGTTCAAAACATACTCACTTCAAACTAATTTTATTCAGTGGCAGTACTGAGATTTAATGTTCTCCATTCTGAAAAAAGTATTTCAACAACAAACAGATAGAAAATTGAATGTACAGATTTGAATTGATATACAATAAATTTATAGAATGTGAGCGCCAAATCATTGCTGTTAGTGATAAATTAAAAGAACCTTCTCCCATATGACATCTAGGTGATTAGGACTATCATGTTCACTCTTCATTTTTAATTATAGACACTTTTATAAATAAGTTTTTAGTTGAAAGTAAAGGAAAAGTAAAAGTATACCTTTATTATCTTATATCTTATTTATAAGGTATATAAAATTAAGGTAATTTTACAATTACCATTTTCACAATTAGTTTTTTTTTTGATTACCTTTTAAGTTCATTACCATTTAACATAAACAAGCGTGAATATGTATATGTTGTGTATTGTAAAAAAACATAGGAGCAATTGAATGTGAGTGACGTGAAAATTTTAATTGTGATATCTTCTGAAGTATAAAATATAAAATAAAATATATTTCTTAAAAAATTAAAAAAATTATATATAGCTACATTTAATAATTATAAACAGTTATGGTATATATTGGATTACATACACATGTTGTATACATACGAACCAATATATGTTATATGGTTTATTTGTAAAAAAATTAATTTATAATGTATACTTAATTATTGAATATTCATACTTTACTTAAATAGGCAGATATATGTTTGTATATATGCTGGTATATATGTTCTCAAATAAAATTTTATTTATAAAATTAAAATAGCTTTAATTCCATTTGTATTTTTAAAAATTCTTTTTAAATAATTTAAGAAGAAGATTCTCTTAAATAATATTTTTATTTATACGTGATTTTGGATAAACAATTAAAAATAAAAATTTGACCTGATGTACCTAATCTTAACATATCCTAAAATAATAAAAAATCTATCAAATATGAGCCCTCTTAACCGCACGGGGGATGCACGATTAATTTATAGACGCAACTTTCAAGGAAATTACAAGATTATTCTGGTTTACTTAAAGACTATAACTGGTATTTTACCGATAGTGCGTACAAATTATGTAATTTGATAATAAAACGACAGGGTGTTTAAAATATGTTATCATCCCCAACTGTAAAAATTTAATATTATTCAGCAGTTTAGATTTGTAATACACAATGTATACAATACATACCTATTATATGAAAAATTTTAATAAAATTGTTTCGGAAAAATTTTATGTATATCACACGTACATACACTCACATGCACTCATATATATCATTATTTAAATTTTAGAATTCTGTGTGCATCTGTCTTCTCATCCAGGGAATATTTTGGTTTTTTGAATAATTTTTTCTTCATGCATTTTTTATATTGCGAAATCTTTTAAAACTCTTTCAGTTTAAAAACAAATCATCTTATATATCCAATATACATATATAAAAAAAACATATATACCGTCACAAAATTTAAGTATTTTGCTTTCTATAACCAAAAAAAAAAAACTTTTCAAAAATATAAAAAAAAAATTTAAATTAAAAAAAAATATGAAAGTAATTGAAAAAGAAGTCAACATGTAACTTAAGTTTTAAATTTATTAATACACAAACATACATATACATGCAAGTTGTATATATGTATTTCTATCACTAGATGAGATTGCATAAATTTAGGAATATAGAATGCAGATGTGTAAGCTGAAAATATAGAAGTAATAACAACTATTATATGGAATCTTAAAAAAGAAATGTGTAATTCGCAATTTTGCAACAAAAATATTGCAAGAGACAGAGAGAAAAAAAAAAGACAGGATTCGCTTATAAAATAGAAAAAAAAAAATTAGTTTTGTAAAAAAAAAATTCATCGTATATGCGCACAGTTATAATTTTATATATGTATATACCTAGATACTACAGAAAATTTATATGCAGCAAAAAATTTTTAAAATTATATCGATACCACCAAGGAATACCGTGGTAAACGGATGTCGTAGTATTTTCCCAATAATTTAAATCAAAAATAGTAATTGAAATTTTTTAGTTCACAAATTCAAAAAATCTAAAGGTGCATTACAAATATTTAATAAATTCATTAAAAATCTTAAACATACTCTTTATATCGTACGATATACACGTATATCGTATATCTTATTTATTTACAAGATATAAAAATGAATTGGAAAAAAGCTCTAACGATATTTTTAATTTTGTAAGGTAAAACAATTTATTTTAATTCCAAATTTAAAGAAAATTGAAAAATTTAATGTTAATTATTGCCGTTAGTTATTTTTGCAATTTAATTTACAATTCAGAATTG